GTTGATAGATAAAATCACCATCTGTCGATTATTAATAAAATTGATGAAATTTTTCGTTCGTTTTCCTTCAACAGAAGTTAATTATCTTCCTTTTTTTGTCAATGATTAATACAAGAATACATTTTTATACTTGTCTATTTTGATGCGTCTAAAGAAAGGATTATAGAAATTTACAGAGCTCCCAATCTTCTTTTCGATAATTTACATTATGCCTATCGCTCTGTTTTAAATAAAGCGCTTCAAGTTTCATGTTTATTAATGTCAGACTGTTAAATTCAGAATACAAATGGCTACAACCAGCATTTGTAATAGATGACAATCAATAAACACTTGTGCATTATTTTTTCTCGAAATCTGAAATACTTGGAATGTTGAAGAAAACTATACTCTTTCAAAGACTTAGATCATGCAAGGTCTACTGGTCAAAGTTATTTTTTCTGAATTATGAGTAATATGACTGATAAACTATTGGATTAGACTAAATACACTAACATTTTAGTGGATAGTAATCAATATTCTTGAATCCAAAATACTTTTGTAGACTGTTTTTAGCGAAGATATTGGACCTAGTTATTGAATAGCATGGGAAATAAGATTTTCTGTTGGGACTTGTCAGCAATCTTTTTTATGTTGGTTTGTTCTCTGAGCTGGATGGTTTGGTCGTGGAGCTTTCACCGTCCTTCTGAACGACATCATCAGCACAAACTTCGGGTAGAAGTGAAGTGTTTGAATTTCTCCACATGTGATTCACAGCTTGTCCTCTGCACCTCGATGTTGATTGGTTCTTATTGACCTTAAATCTGTCATTGTTTATTTCTTTGTTTTGATTGTCTCTCCTATTGTTTTGATTTTTGTTCCTATGTTCCTGCATAATTTTCTTGATTGGTTGATAGATTGGATCAGCAATCAGATATGAACCGAAGTTTCGCATCGATTGATATAAATAAACTAATTTGTCTTAACCATAACTATAAATCACTTAGCTCAGTAATTGTTATATTTTTCTTATTCAGAAGATTACGATTGAAATAGTCAATTAGAGCGTATTTAATTTAAGTCACTCATCAAATACAAGCCCATATACCTTGGAGCCTGACGATTTTCGCTAAAACACATCTGATCGAATCGACGTAGGTGGAGCAAGATTAGGTCTTACAACCAGATTGTAAAAAAATCTAGTGGTTAAACTACATCATGGACCCCTAACTGTTGAGTTAAAGCTAGAAAACCTTCGAAAACCTGAAACCACTGGACGGCCTTTTCGCTCTAGTATGAGACCCCTCTCTATGGATGTATATTTGCTTTAGAACTAGTTTGCGTTTCTTGCTAGTCTAAAATTAGTCGAAGTTTTTAACCACTTAGCTTCTTTAGCAAGTGGGCTAATAAAACGTTGAAACAAGTAAAAAAATTCACTAGCTTTCGCGACTTTGTATTACTTTTAGCGTAAGTAAGATATTCATCTGCATATCGCAGGGCTAAACTATTGCACAACAGATTGTTGTTTTACTTTATAGCTGAGACGTCCTTATGAAATTAAATGTATAGAAGCGTTTGACATTGTCTTGGAGGTGATGAAGTATGGATTATTCAGCAAGTGAATAGTCTTGGTATAGGCACTGATTTCCAAGTAGAAATATCAAATTGCCCGGTTTCGTCATAAGCCTTCGTCGACCAGGATATCGTTATTTTTGCCTCCAACAAAACGAAACATATTTTAAGTCAAATTACTCAAGTTACTAACAAACGCACTAAGTAGTTAAGACATTAGTATGATTGTAGTAGATTAACCAAAAATGCTAGCCATCGTTGGAAAAGTAAACTTTTGATAGAGATTCGCACAGTAAATTCCGTCTTACTCTCCCTCCAATTTATTTATTTAAACACATATATATTGGTACAAAAGGGCACCAGGTACATATGCGCCACACAAAATAATGAAAGTAGGTAGATAAAGGATGAAAAGATAAGGCGGGCTGAAATGTACAACCAGAAGATTCTTTCAGTTAGGAAAGTTAGAACCATTCTTTATGTAGAAAGTAAAAGAAGGTTGCAGCAGGATCGCCACTGGCTTCTATTCTGAGCCATATCCGATAACGTCTCTAGCCACTGTGTTGCACTATCTCTCGGACCCCAACCAGGGAGTCGTGAAGGACCAACGGAAGCTAGCCCTTTGCAGCTCTCTTTCATGCCACGACACCATGTCATACACTGACCTCCTCTCCGCTTTCTCCAACCAGTCCCAGGGTCGGCAAATAATGCACGACGCGGAAGTCTCTGGGACGACATTCGTAAAACATGTCCGAGCCACCGAAGTCGGTGTTTCAAGATGGTGACACCAATTGAATTATCGTCTCTGCGCCCGAACACACGATGCCGAACCTCTGCATTACTAACATGGTGTTGCCACTGGATGTCAGCAATCCTTCGGAGACAACGATGATCGAACACAGAGAGACGTCTAACATCCTCAACTCGGAGAGGCCAGGTTTCACAAGCATAGAGCAAAACTGCTCTCACCGACGCGTTGTAGATCCGACCTTTTACAGCCAGACTAACATCACGAAGGCGCCAAAGATGGCCCAGATTGGCATAAGCCGCTCTGGCTTTCATTATACGTGCATCAATCTCATCACTCACGCCACCACCAGCACTTATATAGCTACCTAGATACACGAACTTCTCAACTACTTCGATCTCCTCACCATCCAGGGTGAGTACAGGATGAGAATCCTGCCAGTCTTGTAGAAGTACTTTGCACTTGGAGGGTGCAAAGCACATGCCGTACCTGCGGACACTGATTGCCAACTGATTAAGTGCTGATTGCATGCCTTGGGCATTATCGCACAGTAAGACAATATCATCCGCATACTCAAGGTCGAGAAGTCGTTCTCCAGGCAACATATCCACACCGCCATTACTTACATCCATCAGAGCTGTTTCTAGGATGTCGTCGATGGCAAAGTTGAAGAGGAATGGTGAGATCGGGCAACCCTGCCTAACCCCACTGCTCGAATGGAACAAGGGAGAAAGGTTGTTGTATGCCCTCACTCTGCCTGAGGTGTTCGTATACAGGGCCTTTAAGATGTTAATGAACTTCTCAGGCACACCCTTCTTCAATAGACAATCCCAGAGAACAGTCCTGTCCAACGAATCGAAGGCCGCCCTGATATCAAGAAACACTACGATTGTTGGCTTGCGATAAGTATGACGGTGTTCTAACATTTGGCGGAGGGTGAAGATGTGATCAATGCATCCTCGACCAGAACGAAAACCAGCCTGCACCTCGCGAGTCAATCGTTCTCGGGTTTTAAACAACCTACGAACAATGATAGAAGCCAATAGTTTGGACGCGATCGAAAGTAGACTTATCCCCCGATAGTTGCTACAGGAACAACGTGAACCCTTTTTAAAGATAGGGACGACTATTGACTCATTCCAAGATGTTGGAACACTTTCTTGCTCCCAGACCTTTCCAAACAACGCAGTCAGTTCCTTAGCCAGAAAGTCACCACCATCTTTAAAAAGAGCCGGAGGTAAGTCATCTGGGCCTGGTGATTTATAACGTTTCAAGAGTTGGAGTTCCTTGCGGACTTCCGCCTCGTTTGGTGGATCAGTCGTCACCGGCCATGGGGAGCAGGACAAGCTGGTTGATGTTGCCGGAGCAGCAGGCCAGTTGAACTGCCCTTCGAAAAATTCCGCCCATCGTCCAAGACGTCGGGAGATGTTAGTGATTGGCATCCCGTCATCCCCGTAGATTGTTTCACTCACACCAGACTTCTTGCTGCCAGTGGCTCGGATGAGTTGGAAGAGCTTCCGGCAGTTACCAGATGCAGCTGCTGCTTCCATCTCATTAGCACGCTCCGACCACCAGGCTTCCCGGTCCTTACACAAGCTTTGCCCGATTTCATTACGTAACAGCCTTCCTGCATATTTGAATGATAGTAATTTTCGAGAAATCGCTTGGCTAAAAATCCTGAATATCTCATTAAGTTAAAGAACAAACTCACTGTTTAAGTTCTATATGTCTGTGCTTATAGTTTGTCACGTTAAATTGCTCTTGTATAAATTTAGCATTCGTTAGGAATATACGGGTGGCAAAAGTCAGTTGCAATTAGTTTTTCACTGGTTTGGAATACCTAAGATTATACTTCAATATATTTCTGCCTAGTTTAGTCAACTTGCGATACGGTCGCTTATAACAATTGCTACATACACACATGCATGAGGATTTTAGAAAGAACCCTCACATTGCTTTGGTTGAGCAGTAGTTAGTGAAAGCACCTTAGGAAATAACAAATGACAGTACTCCTCTCGATCTTTTACGGCGCCATTCAACTGAACAGATAACAAGTATCCGTTATCTACAAGTCCACGTCTTGTATTTTAACTCCATGCTATACCTGTAGTCATGTATTCCAACTTTTCTTTCTTTTTGTAGAAGAAATGGACTCGCTAATAGCCTCGATTGTTTGTTAGAAAAAATCAATATCAATACAGTTAGGTATCTTTCACAGAATGATTTAGTCCTGTAGCTTCAGAATTTCTTCTTTTGTTCTTTAACCGAATTGCCTGGGATAGTAGGAACTTGAGGAGTAAGTGGAGATAATACAGCCTGCTAGGATAGCCTAACTACTAGCTCAAAATCAACTATCTTAATGTAAATGTTTTTAATTAATCGACATCCAATGAATTTTTTTTTTTAAGTTTAAACAGTGTAGTTAGGAATGAAAAAAACCTACAAGTTAAACTTTTTCCTTCGCCGTGTAATGCGTAAACGGGATTAATTCAGTTAACCAATATTTAATCTAAACCTTAAAAATTTACTAAATTTGGTCCGGACAACCAAGTATAACCGCTAGTCGAACTATAGCAAAATAGTGAAGAAATCTATGATATATGAGAGTTAATATTGTGCGTTTATTGTATTTCAATACACCTACAATACCAAATCATAACAACCAATAAGTAGACTTTTACAAAATACAATATATGAAAAAAGATTACACATTGGTTACAGAAGCTTGTTTTACTCGCAGGACTACAGGAACAGAGGTTGTAGGTAAGGTGCCCTTTTCAGTCACTACAGCTGTAACCAATGTGGGCGGTAATACATCATATTCTAAATGTAACAGTCTAAGACTAGTATTTGAACGCCATTCACTCAAATCAGTTGTAGTTGATTCAATCCTATCTGGAAGTCCAGTTGGACCGAAACCAGGAATGCCCTTTTTATAATCTGGTGATGTACCTCGTGGACCTCGCCAAATGTCGTCAGGATCCCCAAGTTCGTTATATTCGAATGCATCAGAATGGGCGCGCTCCCAAAATTTGTAAGTTTCAGCGCATACTATTGTTGGAGCATGAGAAATAGAGGCTGCAATGTTGGCTACTTGAGCGGTTCCCATACGACCTAATACGTACCCGTTGCTAAGAAGAGCATGGGCGCCCAGAATAACTAAAGATATCTATATTTCAAATCAAAATAAATGAGAATTAATCAATACTTAGTTTGAAAGTGAATGTTACACTGTTAACGAATGAAAACCAGAAACACAAGATATCTTTTGCAACGAAGAAATTTCATCTTTAATCATATTAGAATAATCCAACAAGCGTTGTCAAAAGTAGGATTGTATGAAAATGAACTTTAGTCGAGATTTAATTCAGTATAGTAATCTCAACTCATTTTGCGTACCAGAGGATAGAGAATCTCGATTGTGTAACAAAAGCCATGCCATGTAAGTACTTTATCAACAAATAGAGACCTCTCGACAATAAAATAACCAGTGAAACTACTTTTTACGGAATATTTGGTAATAATTTAAATCCAGATTGTAAGTTGTATCACTGCGTGTCTTTAGTGTATAAGAAATTGTATTCCAACAATTTATCCTCGTATCAGTGATCAAGGAATATATAGTTTGTATATGTAACTAAGAAAAATCTTGAGTGAAGGTGGTGAATCAGTTAATGTGGTTTTGAACACAAGTTGACAGGGGTGGCTGGAATGTGCACTATCGTACTATCATTATAGTATCTGTATATTTTTAGCCTGGCTTCTCATCAACAAAAACCGCAATTTTAATCCGCGTCAATGAGATAATACTTAAGTTTACCCGAAATGGAAATATACTACTGGAATCTCTAATATAAAAATAAAGAACCTTGATTAATAGTTTGCTATTTAGCGAAGATAAATTATTTGAAAGAATTTAACTCCGAGGAATTTGGATTTTTAGTTTGCACCAAAACATTGATTACTGAAATTAAATTACGTTCGTTTCCTCAATTGAACTGTCGATAATAACACCTACCTTTTGAGAACTTATTTTGATAATAGTCAAATCGTATGACTGTCAGTTAGCTACAACGTAGTGTAGTAAACAAGAAGGCGACTGGGGACAATCGAATGTATTTAGGCACAAATTACAGACTATCTCACTAACTTCTGATAACCATACAGCAAACAGTTAATTTGCAAAATAACAATCAATTGTCTCAATCTTCACTGTTCCTTCAGTAAATATCAGTTCATCTTCTCTAATTCCATTGTTCATGCATTTTCTTACCAATTGCGCTTCATTTCAGTTCTTTCCTTATCGGTTTTCTATGTCTGACCATCGCCATATACTACTTATATGGATATAAGTAAACCACACTACAGTAAGACAAGGCACATATATGCATCGGTCCAAGTTGCCATACCTCATTAGCACAACAAGATGAACACCGAATTCATAGTAGTTAATTTAATAGTGGTAATATATAAAAGAAACGTTGTATATAAGGATACAGTATAGGAATGAAGACAGATATGAAGCAATTTCAATCTCAAGGTTTAAGAGAAGATAAAGAGTGCATACACGTGCGCCATTGTGATCGATCCTGAGCCATGTCACACAGAATTTCCAACCATTGGTTACTATAGTCACGCGGACCCCAACCAAGTAGTCTGCATCTACCAACATGGCTCAGACTAAAAGCTAGTAACTTCAAGGACTGATAGTTTTGCCGCCCTCAACTTTCTTCCAACCATCGCCAATACTAGTCAGCATTGCGCGTCGTGGAAATCGGTGTTCAGGAATACGTAACACATGGCCCAACCATCTCAGTCGATGAAGATTCATAACCTCACCAACTGATTTACCATCATTCTCTAATACTCTGTGTCCCAGCAGATGCGAGCAATATTTCTAAAGCATCTGTGGTCAAATACTAGTAACTTACGAGTATCTTCTACTCTTAATGGCCACGTTTCGCAGCCGTAAAGTAGAATAGAGCGAACTGCCGTTCAGTATATTCATCCCTTAATTGATAGACGGATTGTATTAAACAACCATTTGTGATAAATTGTATGAACCGGATAAGAACACGTGAACGGATTGTAAACGATTAACTTCCAACTCATATATTTGTTCAAAGTAAATAACAAGCTTGTATTTCGTGTAAAGGCTTGGCAATTTCGGATGCTGAAACTTATTCATCACACAGGTACATGTTACCGACACAGAATTGAAAATTATAAGGGTTAGTAAAACATTTTACACACTAGTATCCAAAAGTAAACGTATTCATACCTTATTTGCGACACTTGGCAATGCACCGATATGTGTATATTCACATGGTATTCCTGCTTTTAACAATCTGGTTAGCATTTGTCTACCTTCAAATTTCGGTCGAGAGTCAACAACCAAAACACTAAACACTCTGTTTGTATTTTTATTTGATGGATCCGATTTAGTGTTTACAAAACATGTTTTCATTTTGCTCGCTAAAAAATCAACATTTGCATCAACTTGATTGACGGATGTGTTGCATGGAGATTTCCATGCACGTTCCAGCACACGGGCTACCAAGGATGAATATCCAAATATACAGACACATTCACCAGGACGAATCAAATTAACTGTGCGATCTACAATCTCATCTCCTGCCAAATAAATTGAACCACGCCTAAATTCGACAATGGCTGATAAAAAGCTGTCTCTACACTAAATATACAAAAATAGATTGACGTTAGTTATGATAACGTTGTTAGCTCCTTATTAATGTCGTTGTTTGTTTATGTTCGAAATAAGTCTCAGAATAATTTTTAAACACATGTAACTTATTTATCAAGAATAGGTTTATATACTCGGCGTTGACCCACACAATGTCATTTCAATCTAGTAATACGAGCTTGAGACAATCATCAGTGACTTTGGTCTTCTTGAATAGCGTTTTCACTAACTGCAAAATTGGCTCATCTAATTGTAATGTGTTTTATATTAACCACGAAAAATGGTGAAGACTTCTACGCAATACATTATTTCTTCAATAAGAGTGAACACTTTTCACTTGTGACACAAGTAACAATTGAACTAACATTTGTATGTGCACAGAGGTTTCATCAATTATTTGAAAACCAGTGTTCAACTATGCAACAATACTATTAAAGCAGACATTTGATTTCTGTTAGAGGTTTCACCTCATGGAAATATGTTGTTTATTTGATGTAGAGCGACTAACGGATATTTGTATGGGAGTGCTTTTTGATGACACACTAACGGAAAACTGATAACCCCGTTGAGAATACTTGATGTAGTTACTTACCAAGATAGCTGACCACCATCTTCGGAACGACCAATATTACCAAACATAAAGGTATGGCAGAAGTATGATTTTATCACTAGATATACTGTTCAGTGACGTATTTAAGAGACTTCTATAGAACGCCAACTATCGCCTGCAAGTCAAGGACTATGGCTAGTATAAAGAACAGAAAAATGCAGTTGTGTTTTGGCAACTTATACATTAGACCAGACACGTTTTTCTCAAGCCACTTATATTTCAGTCAACATTGCAGGCCGAGGTAAGAGTTAGTTAGCCCTGTATAACATATTTGCTAACTGTCGGTTAACGTAAGTTTATAAACTCAACAAGAAACTTAGCTTTTCACTGGCTTAACCTTAGTACTACTAATTCGATGGTTCTACTATATGTGAGAGATGCTTCGAAAACATTTATGACCAAACACTTCAAGCCTATGTATGTCTGTTAATTACATAGTCCATGTTTCTCTGTCGTAGGGAGACTGGGAAAAGTGATAAAGTTAATGAGGATTAAACCGTCAAAGCCCAAGACATCCATAAGAGTAACATGCAATCATAAAATATCATACCTCATCCCAATCTTCCACGGAATCTAGGCGAGTAAGCGTCTGCTTCAGATATTGATATGCATTATATATCGTAACAGATAATGGACGACAAAGCTGAAGAAAGTTTACATGAGCTTGCAAAACTGGTCCGAAACTCCGACAAAACAGAGCATCATTTGCTCCAGTGTGACTATTTATTCCTTCGATGGATGACTTCGGAATGAATGAACGTATGAGTTCTTCACATGATGACAAAAACGCTAAACATTTCTCATTGGAGCCCCATATTCGATCTTCGTCAAAATTGACACCCAGAGTGAGGAACGAAGGGTGGATGGAGGAACGCGTCCCTAAACTAAATAAAGAAAAATGACAAAATGTACAGGGTGAATGGCGGAAGCTTGATAAAAATGCTTCAGTTCAAAAGAATAACATGAGAAAACAACACTTAGAGATCGTTCGTAAAAATTCGTGAACATTATTTAGATATATCAATTTTATTAAAACGAAATAAACTGACTTGATGTAACTAATATTTGCCAAAGTTTGACTTTCCGACTTACTGGTCAGGTTAGCATGTACCAGTGGCCCTGCAAATATTTGTAGGACCCTGAAACAAAAGCTAAAATACTTGACTATACTCGTCAGACGTTTAAATGTTATGTGAATGGACTTTTCAAGTCACCAATCTAAACTTTCATGACGTACACATGCTTAAAAATATTTCAGTATTGAAATCAAGTAGTTTTGCACCAATTCTATTTGTTCGAACCACTAAAACAGATTCAGACATGGTGGTTATGCAGGTCATCTGAAAGACCATTCACGACCTTATGGGTCAGTGAAGGAATGATGTTCAGACTCGCAAATGACTTTTTCCACTGAAAAAGACTTGGTCTTGAAGATAACTACGGACCACTTTGACATCACAAACCATGAAAAGACGGCGTAGGTGCTACATTTTACTTTGATTACATGTAGTAACCAAAAATGGGGATAATTCTCAAGATGAACAAGATTATAAGGACGAAACCCTACCAAATCACTAGCCTGTACAGTACAGGATATTTTACTTAGATATAAATGAATTATACAATTGACTTATATTTACAGAGGGGAATAATAAAGAGGTGAAAGTGAAGACCTAACATAATACTTCCGCATTACAATAAGTGAATCACCAAGAACGTCTCAGGAGTTTTTTCAAAAAGCAGAACTCTAGCATGACCAAGTTGCTCTAATTGTTAAATTATACACATGAATTAATTTGATTCGACTACCCACAAAGTGTGTATAATGAGAATGGCAGTTACAACTCAGCTAGTTTAGGACACTACTTATGACATTAAAATAAAAACAGAACCTGATGTTCATGATTGATTAAAATTTATGTTTTTTGGCTGCTAAGATAAGTAAATAATGAAACTTGCATACCCAAGACAACTGATAACATTTACTCGTTTGTCTGGTTGATCAAGATGCTTGAAGAGGTGAACGCGACAGGACTCTTGTATTCTGGACCTCGGAAGTTCGGCAATTTTGAGGCTTGAAAAATCGAGGCGGTTATTTTGACCTAAAGGAGAAAATAACGAAAACACAGCTAGTCTCACTTTCAACTACATCTGTACATGCTTTCTGATCCTTAAAGGGAATGGTCTTTTGTTCATTCGTACCTGTATCCTGATTCGGTCGAGTACTTGGTGCATCTGTATTGAGAATATTTAAAACTATAGACCAATACTTATTGTCATACTACTTAGACTACTAGGAACGGTATTTAGTGTTTGAGTGACTTTTGGCTTGTCTGTACCTTTGGAAGCAGCTTTCGCAGCTCTCTGAGCTTCCTTGCATTATGATTAAAGTTATTATGGTTTTACTTGAATAGCTCTCCTTTCAGCTTTAAGCTGAGCTTTGGATTTCGCATTATCTTCTTTGCTTACTGAGTCCTTCATTGACAGCAACAACTCAGTAGCGCACATAACCGTAATGTGAACTGTGTCAGTTCAACATGCAAGAAACACGAATTAGAAATTGCCTTAGAAATGAATATGGAATCGGGAAATAATATATATCCCCTTTACTGGTAATGAAATGTTTGTAAATCTTGTATAAACATTGCTTGTTGAGAAAGTCATGTAAGTTATTTTTAAGAAAGGTCATCTCAATTGAGAAACCATTTATGCAGGAATAAGTCGTTTTGAAGGACTAGACTAACTAGCCGTTAGTGAAAAAAGCTTCATAAATTTTATTCCAAAATGTATTTGTGTGGTGTTTGTATGAATTAATGATTCTTTCGTATTTGGTGTGTTTCTAAATCTGAATTCTAAATGCAATACGTTCATTTGTGATAAGATGGTGGTTGGAGGTGGTCAACAGAAAACCCTGGACCCAGTTTTCGTGCTACTTGGCACTTGTCATCAACGTGTACCTGTAATCATGAGGGAACTGGTGCTCACTGACGGATTCGATCCCGTGTCACCCAGCTTTACAGTCAAAGACGTTACCACTGAGCTATCCAGGCTGCAACCGACCTATTGTAATATTCATTGAACGGTATGCCTAGCGTTTCTACACACACGGAAATCATATATGTATATATTTTGTATGTTTTATCTTCGATAGGATAGCTGACAGTGCTGTAAATAGCAAAACACTTTGGTTCCCCTAACAAATGTGCAACAAATAAATTCACTCTCTTTTCTTCCAAATTTACGAACAACCAATACGATATACCGCCAGATTCTAATTGATGTCATCTTATACCGAAATTTTTTAACCTAAAAGAATTGAACCGTTTGAAAGAAACTGTTATTAAAATTGAATCCGAATGTCGAGACATATATTTTTGACATTCAGTTTACTAAACAAGCTAGCATGATTTATTTTTTATATCCACTCAACTAGTCCATAAGGACAACGGAAGTGCATTCCAGAGCACATGAGTTGATATATCAAAGTTGAGGTTAAATAATCAGTTATTTCCAAACATTTAGGAACATTTTCCCAAACTTTTGTCTATGGGATTCGGAATTCCAGGCAACGATTCTGTAATATCAACCAAGGCCTACGAGTCATCCTTTCTCTTCGTCCCGGTGTAACAACAATTTTCACTGAATTGTTTTTCCTCGGTTCGTTGTCAAACGATCACTCCTCATCAATAACCTCGTAGTTTGACCTCATCAATAGGGGCATCTATATATTGAGGCAGACAAATAAGGTGTACATGAATAATTAGTAGTTCAGCGGTAGAGGTCTTTGTATCTGTCACTCTCAGTAACAATAAAACTGCAATAACTAACTTGGTAGTCTACAATTCATTTTTGCCAAGGCATTAAAAATATGCACCGTCTGTCACATACGTTTTGTTATACGGATGATTGTGAACAGGCTCTGTTCACTAACTTATGCCAAGTGTACATCGATGTCTTAAAAACTGTCTCACCTTATTATTTTAGTCGAATGTTTACCTTTAGTGTTCTCCGTTCACACTGCTTTATAACACGAGGTTCACATGGGTCGTATTCCTTGATAATAACATATCATTACTTAACTGTGTTATAGGACCTGTCTTTACTCATTCACACAATAATAAGTTTGATACATATGCATTTAGTTAGACGGACTGAACTTTAGGGAGCCAGAGTAGATGAAGGCGCACACACTCATTAGTGGTTCTTGATTAATGAATTTTCTGGTAAAATATTTGTTGGTAAATTGTTATACAGTCATTCATTTGGCAACCTATCTGACTAAGCTGAAACGAGAGATTAGTAAATTTTGTAGGAGATTTCATCAGTACATTAAACTTACTTCCAAGTTGTGCGTAGCATAATCACCTTCGTCTTCTTTCATAACCATTGAGTAAGGCTATCTAGAAAACGAAAAAAAGTCGCTAAAAGTGCACCTCATTATCAAAGTTTCACCAGTTTTCACAGAACTCCAGCTAAAATAAACATTGCATATTCTATAATCAAGGTGAACAAATTCGATAATCAAAGCTGGTGATACTGCTGCAACGGTTCGCATTTTATCCAGAAACTCCAGAACATGAGAAAGGATAAAAAATTTACAAATTTAGTGTGCGTTCATCATTTTTTGACCGAGTTCAATTCAAGTGTTTGATATGTTATTGACATGAGGCCCTTCAAATAGTTACTTTCAGTATGACTTTTTATATTACTGACCATCGCTTGGAAATGTGCTTATTTTCCAAATAAACATTATCGTAACCAACGGAGTGAAATTTAGAACATCTTTTGTATATTCATATGGTGTACGATAAGTATAAACATTAAGAAAAATGTTTTCGAATTTTTTCCGTACCCTATAGCTGTGATTAGTTTACCACAACAAATCAAAGGTAGGATAAATAATGAAAGTTTAAGTATGAAATTGTCCACTACCCAAGTTCAAATCTTGTGTTTAACAAATGGATTAAAATCCAATAAAGATGAGCGGTATTAAAAATAACGTCGCGTACTAAGTTAAATACATCGAGTTTCCCCCTTGCAAGTGGTCTCTTGAATTGTAACACTGCAGTCTGTAATACCCATGTATGTCATATCGATAAACCTGAAAGAGGGAAGGTCGATATAAATGCAAAAACAGGAAAAAAAGAAAAAAAACTAACCATATTGGCTATATAACAGTTTCATACTTAACAGTTCTTATAACACAGTTAAGGCTCTGAACAAAGACAGGAACTGTCATTTGGAGAAATAAAATAAAAAACAACAGAATCAACGATCTATCATCGACTAATGCGCGTCTAGTTTGTTAATTTTTGGGACGGATCGTTTGATTGGACGTTTAAGCATCACGGAGAATGTACGAGTGTTACCTATAAGCAACCATGTGCACACAGTTTTAAATCACAAACAAGCCCCAGCCACGTCATGTAACGGAAACAAACACATAAGCTTATCACTGACGTCTGGAACAATAATTAATGTTCCAGAACACTGGAAAATACGGTAACCAGTTTCTCATGGTGTTGTTTAAATATATTTTTCCTCATTGCATTATGTATTTCTGTTTTAACTGAAATTTTTTACGCAATTCTTTAGTCATTATGGACCATGGATTCTTCGTTGTCAATTATTTTGGGTCAGTATAGTGAGTAGTTAAAGACCAATGCCACCGTTTCTAATACCATTAAGGGTTGGCTAATAACCAAATTAGAGACAAAATCAGCACTCTCTATGCAACCTAACGTGGTTTCAAAAACACAGATACCATTCATCTGATGTCCTGGAACTGAAGACTTCCATAATTTGCTGAGGTCTAAATTCCAGTTTGCCTGATACTCCTCTACATTGGAAAAGCATTCTAGACTGAACTGTATTCGATGCTTATAATGACGTTCAAAACTATGGTTTCACTGACCGGCTTTTTTCCAGATTTCTAGATTGCCTGGAGAGCTAAATGTTCCACGACAAGATAAACGGGCTTTATGGAGTTTGATGGGAAACCATTTTCGGATAACTATTGTTTCTGATTAACTCTGCTTAATCTATTCTGATGTCTTCAAGAAATGGAAACCCATCAGGAGTTTAATGGGTTCGTTTGAGCTACAAAAATGCGTGACGTCGTAAGTAGGTTGGTTGTGGACAATTGGGTGGAAAATAACTTGTTAAAACATCATATGGTGAAACTTTTGCCCTTTGTGTCCCTTTTAATGGTCCTCTCTCGATTATCTTCATAGAGTAAGATGATGGACAATTACCATTGGGATTCTTGACACCAGCGAAAACGTTGGGGCTGGTGGCAAACCAACGAAATTAGTAACTTTATACAGAAACAGTTTGATGTTTTTAAGCAGTGACAGTTTTAATACTCTCTGAAGAGACACGCAACAAATTGGGTGACTGGGCTGAGAGACAAATCTTACGAAGGTAGAATTGGCTTTCTGAGATTGTTCCCTCTGGGTTACAGGAAAATAAAGAGTGAACTAACAATAACACGATAAACTAAAGAAACCAAGTCATCCTAACGCAAATATAATACGGGGACCTGATAGCGTTCTCTGACGGTCAATTACTCGAAGAAACAATCACCAGGCAGAGGATACCAAAATGAAGTCAAAATTTCCATATTGATAGTTTTGTAGTACATCTTCGTTGATGATCTATGTCGAAATGATTGGGGGCCTACTATAGTTAGACGAGAATGGGGACGAACCAACTAACGCTGAAGTCACACCTCGCGACCAGCCCTTACGTGGATTGAACCATCGACGCATCAAAGGATAATATATGTTATGGGGACTGTACAACACAAAGGACGTTATTAGAAGAATATATTAGTTAAGGACAGTCAGTCAGTCACAACGTAGAACCTCGTACGTACGTACATCAGTTCGAGTTGCCATACCACATTAGCACAGAGATGCAGTTGTCGATTCAAATCCCATAGTGGTAGAAGTAGTAGGAGTATAATCAGGAATCCAAAAGATTAGGGTTTGAAGAAATTATTGAAGGAGTATAGTACAGTGAAATAAATTTGGAAAGAGAAAAAGATAAAGACATGAGGAATTCAGAAGATTAGAATTTGGTAGAACACAAAGAGTGGATACATCTTCGCCATTGCAAACGATTTTGAGCCATGTCATTCAAGGTATCTAACCGTCGGTTGCTGTCATCTCGCGAATCCCAACCAGGTAGTCTACACCTACCAACTACGTAAGTACAGAAGTGAAAGAATAACCACTGCAGCGTGGGCCAGTCCATGGCGTACGATTGTTTGATGCGCGTTGACTATCCTTGACCTTGACAGGGATCAATGATCTGTTCGATATTCCGTGACCCTACAATACTCCCCCACCAGATTCAATGGCCGTTTGAATCGATACCAAACATGTTGGGAGTAGTCGCGCGCCGGAGGTCGCCAGACGATTAATATGAACACTCCGGGTATTGCCGAGCTGTAAAAGAAATGGAAAGGAGGCTGCAGAAACTGATCGGGAAACAACGAGTAATAACACGTAATAAGGACGTTGGTTGAATGTTAAGCGATCAACCATAGAAATAATAGAAAAAGAAACATTCTAGAGTTTTACCAAGTCGCGTTGAAAAAGATAGCTTTGACAAGTGGTTGAGTTCCTCAGATGAGGAACGTTAAGTTTGCCGCAAGAGTAGTGATGTCACAGTGATAGTACGATAAGTGTATTATCAATCGATGCCGATGTTTGTACTGCCCTCGGTTCAGAGTAGAAAATCAGTAAGTGACGTTGACAACTGTTCGTAGGCGTCGATTTCTAGTTATATCTATATTTAACAGGCTAACTGTAAGTACAGAAGTATAACCGTGAAGATAAGTCGTAGTTTCCTTGTGCGAAGTTTCTGATCAACTTGCAGTCAGTTTGGAAAAACTGATAACTGCTGTGAAAATCAATAAGGGTCGAAGAATACAGAGCAAGAGCGAAAGGTGGCACGATGAAATCTCTAAAAGATGATAATTGGTGAGTGCTGCACACGTTTTTGATGAGTGAACCGAAAAATGTCGAAAAGAACATAAGAAACCAAGAGTGTCACTCTGGACTCATGTCAATGATATCGTTGAAAAATGCTGTCAGTGTTGGGGTCGAGACGACAATATCGTTGTCAGTTTGCAGGAGATGCGCTCGACTGCGTAAACCGATGATTCGCGTGAATGAGTGTCGTCAAACCACCAATTAAACTGGACAGGCTTTAGATCGTCGAGTAGTTGAACAGCTGATTGATGTACCGAAATCATCTATTAGATAACAGCCACGCGGAAACAATACTTCATAACATGAAAAAATACGACGTCGAAGTTGAATAACTACAATAGTTCGGATGTGTTGTAATGTCACATCGAAGTAACATCATTTCGTATACTGACAATTGTACTGAACGTTCGTTTGGGCATTGTTTATGTAGCAATTGGATGTGCAGTAGCAAACATTATCGTGGGGTTCGTGGAGAGTTTCAGAGGACGTTTAGATATTTTTCAAACCCGTATTGCATGTGAATAAGCCGAAGACGGAATTAAAGTGACTTTCGTGCAATAAGGAAATCGAGTCATGATTTACTGTATGAGATAACAGCAAACAAAAAAGCGCATAGTAAACATTAATTTAAATGGTAACCACCAATGTAACTAAAGTTTAGGTTTAGATAACGTGATCGTTTCGTAAAAAAGCATATTATCTAGCGCTAAGTGACATTAAGTACGACGAAGTGTCCCATTAAGACATGGACTAAGATTGCTCGTGTACATGAAATACGTTTTTTCAGAGTATGTTGACTTACGAGTCATAAATATACGTAGTTTCGACTAAAATTTGATGGCAGGGACAGAATGTATGTCCAAGTGAATGTAGCCGCGGAATGTTATTAGACATCATAAACATTATACGAAATTATTTAACAGTTATGAAACTCGCCTGGGTTACCCTTGCTCCAAAGTAATTGAAATTTGTTGATTAACTTCGTAGATTAACGAAGCGTTGTAGACTGAATTGGAATAAGTCCAATTTAGGTCGAAAACGTAGAATTGCCTGACGAAAACTAAACAAGACCTAACATTGCAGAAAATTTATAGTTCAAACTCACCGTAAATTTCTAGCATTTGTATCCTCTGATTCGCCATGGAACTCAGCAATTGGAAATTAGGCATGCAGTGGTCAAGAAAGTAAAATATTCTGGTAGATAGTTTATGATAGTAGTTAGTTGACAGTGAATAAGCAGAAAGATGAATTTAATAATCGGCAGTTTATCCTGTATTGGTTATACAAGTGGATAAGTTGCAAACAGATATGCGTACGTGTTGCCTTGAGGCCATACTTACGAGTGGTTGATATTTTAACAGACATATTACACAGGAGCATTTACATGCTGCTAATGCTTGTTAAAGAACCACGATAGCGTTTATAGTCGTAGTTGATTGGTTAGTTCTATCGATTGAACTAATTATTTCAGTTGAAATACTAATCAACATTGATATGAAGCAATGAATGTTCACAGAAACTGATAAATATAGCCGAAGTTAAAAATGGAAAATAATAAGTACAAAATGTAATAAAAAAGAACATAATGATAGGTTGCGTTATTCGAAGTCTTGCTCACCAGTGTAGTACATCTTCGTTGATGATCTATGTCGAAATGATTGGGGGCCTACTATAGTTAGACGAGAATGGGGACGAACCAACTAACGCTGAAGTCACACCTCGCGACCGGCCCTTACGTGGTTTGAACTATCGACGCATCAAAGGATCATGGACGCTATGGGGACTGTACAACACAAAGGACGTCATTAGAAGAATATATTAGTTAAGGTACAACTACGACAGTACAGAAGTGAAAGAATAACCACTGCAGCGTGGGCCAGTCCATGGCGTACGATTGTTTGATGCGCGTTGACTATCCTTGACCTTGACAGGGATCAATGATCTGTTCGATATTCAGTGACCTTACAGTTTCCTCATACAAAGTTCACGTAAAGACGAAGTGACTACAGCTTCCTAAGTGGATGGCTTCAGAAAGAGATTTGACAATCACGTAATTGCCAATGGATTTCCGTCTGAGGCTGACACTGATTGTTTATGTCTCTCAAATCAGCTACATTCATCATTATTATCACATGTCACAAAACATTTCTACCTACTTATATTTATGTTACTGATGTTCGTCTGATATTCTTGTAGTTCTGTCTACTTGTATGTTTGCAAACTTGTTGAATAATCCAAAATCTGACAGCCATGCAGCGTAGATTATTCACTTTGTGTACACTAGATTATCATTAATATATTGGACAGTGGAATCAAAGCAGCTTAACAAAGTGACAAAAAGTGATTCAAGCAAACAAATTGTTCAATGACCGAAAAAATAAGGGGACAAACAAAACATATAGAAACAATAAACAAGTATGCTACATTCACAAGTACATCTGTTGCTACTTGCAATTCGTAACTCTCAGCGCAAAAATCGAAACTTGTTGTCATAGTAATAAAATTTTACGGGCTAATTGAAAATGAAGGACGGAAGCACCATTGTTTTCAAAAAACGATATACTGTGATTAAAAAGCTCGGAAAAGGAGCGAGCGGGAAAACGTACTTAGTGGAGGACTCCCACGAATCTCAAAATTGCACGTAATTAATAGTCTTTCTGAACGGACCGTGATCAGGAAGGTTTTGAAAGCTCTGAAGTGCATAAAACTTGATGACAATTCAGCAGCGGTTCAAAGAGATTATGAAAAAGAAGCCCACTTACTATCGAGTCTGAAACATCCTTATATACTTCGTATTCATGAAAGTTTTGTTGATAAAGATAGGTTCTGCATTGTGTCGGAATTTTGTGAAGTGAGTCGTTAAATATTTTCACAGAATGATTGTTGTCTATGAAATCTGCTGACTATTAAGAATATGGGCGTTTAATCGAATTTACTTGCAGCAAGACTCATAACTACAATCTATATGCTAATTGGTGTTCTCCCAATACCACTACAGGCGAGAAGAGCAGTATTCTTTAACAATTTGTTTTATCTTTCTCAACTAAATAACTCAGGATTCTTTTTCTAAACGAATCTCTTAGTGTATAGCTTGTAGCATTATAAGGAGAGTTTTTGGATAGCTAAACCCTTAAAAAGTAGCTATTCCAAGTAATATGGAAAAACAACAAATTCAATGCAAATGTTTAGGTAGGATTAAACTATACTGCCGAGCCAATCAGAAGCTTTCGCGGGTTTTCAAGGTCACGGCGGTAAGTTCGGTACCTGATGCTTACGTACGGTCGGTTTACAGCGGATTTTAGGGAAGACGTGATAATTTAGCGTCTACAATAGAAGTGATCATAAGATTTTAGCGCGAAATTCAATTATCCATCTGGATAAATAGAGTTTTGGTATTATAGCTGATGTCAGTTCGTGATGAAAACCCTAAGTATAATTCCTAGATTTAATCATGAACTGTAAATCAGAAGTTGGATTCTTCTTACATGTTTATAACCCTCATTTGGTCTTAGTTATTATGTTGACACTCTAAGTCACTCTAACGTCGCTCAAAGGTTGTCGATAACTTATAGTCTCACCCTAAACCCTACACCTAAACCTTAACTCTAACCCTTACCCGTAAACCATACCAATATACTAACATTATTGAAGCTATGTGGTCGAGGCTAAAAGAATTTTTGAGACCTTATCATGGTTTCAGAGGTCGACTACTATGGAGCCATATGGATGTGTCCCTGTACCGTATGCACTATGATTTTAGAACTTCTGAACCTATATCTGACCTTGAGAAGTTTTTGACCCATGTAAAAGAAGTGTTTCCACTTTAATTCTTTGGTTTTGTATAATATATTTTTACTGTATACTAACTGTCTCCTGATTGACTAATATTTCTCAAGGTCATTTAAGATTCGTTCAAAGGTCGGCAGTATAGTTTAATCCTACCGGTTTACACAACTATTGATCAACCTCAAAAATAAATGTGATGGAACTAGGTTGCCAGCTAAACTAATTAGTTACTTTTCATTTATCCACCCAACGGTCTGTATGTCACTAAACACGTCGTAATACAGCACCAATCCGTAAGTAAGGTCTCCATTTGTTGTTAACTAGCGACTTCATCTACGTAAATCAATCTATTAACCAATGATATTTGATCAAAAATAACCACAAATATCAAGTCATAATAGTAACATGTATCGAAGGAATTCGGTTCATTTAAAATCTTAAATGATGCTCTTTTTCTTCTTTACACCAATGCAACACTGTCTTAAACGAATACCTACACTATGTACCCTGCCAGTGTCTATTATACAACACTTCAACACATCTCTGACTTGCCGAACTATAATGTGGGTATATCTCATTGTTAATAGCTAAAAACAACAGTAGTAACAGGGGGTAGAAAATTAAACAACACATCTAATACCTACCAGGCTATCTACTGGTCTGACTATGTAAACAGTCAATCGCCATTTTCTTCACCCACAGACTGTTTAACTTTAGTTTATATCCTAATGTATTTCAGTGATTAAAATCACCAGGGTTTTGCAGGATTTTGTGGCGCTCAAAATAAATAAAATAACCAACATAAAAAAATTTTGCCATCACATGTTGCTGAAGTATATAGAATTAATTATGACTTTGAAACAAGTAATAGCACTAAGCGTATGTAATGGTATAAAATCCATAGATTTCATTAAAAGGCGCTTTGATAGGTACAAGTGGACCAGCATAAAAAATACTGGAAGAATCTTTACAGTCACTGTAGTGTGGTTTACGTAAATCATGAATAAATCGTACCATTGTGGTTGGTTAAGTTTTATATATGTTTTATCCGTGTTTAGTCTCTAGATAAATACATGTATGGTCATGTATACTCAAAAAGCTACTATGTTACGATTGTGAAGTTTACGAAAGTAAATTTGTTTTTTAAGCATTGGTTATGTTACTCAAGAGTGAATGACTGTAACCCAGGTGAGAAAATTATCGGACTACAAAATCTGAACATCATTTGACTGAAGTATGTTTCGATCATAATAGTAGCTTGAAGGCAAGTTTAATATCTATTCCAATTAGTATAAACTAAAAGATAATAGAATGGCCTATATTCTTGTTAGTTATACTTTCATAAGTTTTTTGTATCATCTCCAGCAATTCATAAAAGTCGTCTTCTTGCTTGATGAAAGTCACAACTAGGATCCCTGTGTTTGATTCAGAATTCAATACTGATCGAAGTTGTTTCACTCCAAATCATCATAGTCCTGGAAATCATGTTTATGATGTATACTGTCGAGGAACTTAGATTCACAACAAAATTGGTATTTGGTGTTCTTTTGCTTTTATTTTGTGTTCGGATGTTATAAATCAACGCATATAAGTTTCTTCACACATTTTGCATTGTAGTGGATCTTTTCATTATATAATAAGCAAATACAAACTATTAAACTGGTCTGGAATGGGTGTAATTAAAAGGTAATGCTTAATAAAAATGTATGAAACCAACTATTGCTCACTGCTCTGGAGTTTTATGCTGATCTTACATCTTTTAGTATACACTGATACCAATGAAATGAATTTTTTATCAGAATAAACTTATATACGTTATTTTAATAAAGAGAGTCGATTCAAAACAACACAGTCTCTTCAAATTGTGCTCTTTATTGCTGCCATTTTCATATTTTTGTTCCAAATGACATACCTTTCTGTTTATTTCTAGAGATTGCATAGCAACCTTCATATGCGACAAATATAATAAATAGTGCCTGTTAATCGGTATGGCGGTTTATACCATCTCACTATTTACCGTTATTTGTTAAAAAGTTAACATGTAATATCTCTTTTTTTAACTTATCAAACCATTTCACTAGTTGTGTTAATGGGTTTTAAAATATCAAGTTTCTTCAGATAAGCTTGGAAAGTTGTTTTTTCAACCTCGACAAGTTTTTAAATTTTCAGATTAGAATAAATCAGTATCTTGTTTAATTTTATTCTGTATGTTAGTCTGTACATTATTTTCTAAGACTGAGGTGGTTTTATAAACGTTTTTCATTGTTTGATAATTACTTTTATCATAGTCATCAATTATAGGATGATATGAAACCATGAAAAGTTGGATGGATGCTTTATCTTGTTTTACATCTCAGCAATTTATATTAGGGTCCTAGAACTTAATCCCTTTAAACACAAAGGATTTAAGTCCCTCAGTCGGGATTCAGTGATTTGCATATTCAACTTAAGTTAACTTACTGTAGTGATGCAAACATTCAATTTGGCCGACGAGTTATAACCTCACTTCAGGTATGATCAACTTGACAATTCATAAACTCCAACTGCAACCTTGATAAATCCATCCTAAATGTAGTTACTTGCTAGTACACCGTTATTAGTAGGCCTGGTAATTCATTGAAACTTTTTGTGTCTAGTTTCATCATAAACGATTCATTTTAATGTCGCTTTTTCGATTATCTATCTTTCTCCCCAATTTGATCTTGAAAAGTGTTACAAACTAAACTGAATTGCTTTCGGTTTCAAACGATGTTTTCATCTAATTTCTTTGGTTCGACAACAAAAGTATCCGTTAACAGTCAATTTTATTATGCATGCAGACTACGATTTATCATTCTTGATTTATTTATCGCTTTAGTTTATATTTTAGAAATTCTTAAGAACTATTTAACCTATAACATGTCAATAGCTTGCAAATAATAAGCCAATAAGAAATAAACGGGCGGTAGAATAACAGTATTATTATCAAGAGTTAACGAAGGTGTGGATGTACTTTCAATGATGAGATTATCTCGGAGTCAGAAAATTTAATGCTTCTTAGCCTCTATCCTTATATTTCGAAGAGTCAAGTAGCAAAAGTGCTTCATAACAGTAAGCAAACAATTCCCAGATAGCCAAACTTACCAATAATTTAGCGTAGTTAACTACTTCCACACTATCTTAGATTGTATATCAAGAGGTGGATTGTTACCAGATACGCGATCCTATTTCTTAAACTTCCTATCCGACAGAGGTTAATACCTTTCATAACCTGACCTGGTCTTGATTATCTAGGAGGGTACATTTTAGAAAGACACGTTAGCTTCTGGAGTTCTGGTTCTCATTGTTACTGTATTATTATCACATATAATATTGGCCCTAAGAACTACACATTTCGTCAGCTTATTTTTTCGCCAAATCATTACAAAAGAAGACAGTTTTCAATGATTATTCATCATAAAGATATTATGTTAGATTTTAATAGATTAATCTAAATTAAGATTTTATCTTTTATTTTTAATTGTACTGTAAAACATGATAGGGGGGTGATCTAACCAATTACTTAAAACAAGTGAAGAGTAAAGGAGAACGTATCAGTGAAAAAAATATTGGAAAATGGCTTGTACAACTTATACTGGCCACAGTTTATATGCACAAAAACAAAATACTTCATCGTGACTTAAAAACAAGGTTGTTTTCTGAATTTTTTCAATGCATTTGAATTTAAATTATAATTTTGGAGTCGAATTTTTTAAATCTTAATTTGAGTCAAGAAACTAACAACGTCATTTTGTCCTTCATGGAAATTTTGAAGGGGATTACATTTAAAAATTATGTGATTTCATCCATCCATTTCTTAATATTAAGTATGGGATTCTGAACATTGTTCGGCATTTTTCTGTTCATTTGGTGAGTGCCCCATACAAGAGACCTCCGTTTCACAGTTACATTTTCATTATATTTGGTATCTTTCACTCGACATATTGGGATGCACTTCACTTAAGTGACCGTAGTATACAGATGTGAATAAATTCAGATACTTTAAGTAAAATCTCAATTGAAAATTACACCCTTAAATACAGCGCTTTTCCATCAAATGAACGGAAAATTGCCTGAAATACTAGATACCTCATGCTTAACGAATATTGAAAAAACAGATGGATAAACCCACTATAGAATTTCGATTTAAAGAAGGATGCTCTTGAAATAGGAGACGATAATACCTAATTTTAATAAATAATATATTTCACATATTACAGATTTGGATCTAGTGAGCAGAAAACAACAAAATGGATATAGGGTATGGAGGTACCAGATTCAAAACGCACGTCCTGGGTTCCACAGCCACATAAAACCTGTCTTTTTTAAAACATCTTATGGGGAAAATAATTATATCAAGGCAATGCTCCCAGGATGCACATATACCAACTAAAATTGATCAAAATCCAATCAGTAATATCAATAACGTAGTAACCTAAACTCCTCCAAAAAATTACTTGAAAGTAACTTTCACAAAGTAGAGTTTGCTAAAGAATCATCAAGAACCCGAGGACACTGGATCTAATGAAGAAAATGTGTTCAACGGCATATTGTTTTCAGTACTACTGTATTTTGTTTCCCGATACGAGTTACTCTTAAAATGTACACAAAATACATAAGACTAGCAAGCAGTTTTTAATGTAAATATAAATCACTGAGGTTTCCAATTTATTTGTAACAGCTAGTCATTTGCAGGTAGTTCCGAATCTTTACTAAAATATTTGAACTCAGAATGATATGAATAAATAATGACATTTACTTAAGTAAACGGAAAAATCCCAATAATACTCCAACTGCATATAAAATCGATGAAGCTTGAGTTAAATTTTTATCAAAAGTAGGGTCTTATCTAAGTTCTTATTAGGAATGCTTCTGATGTAGAATTTTTATTGCAGCGTTGATCATAACTATTGAATTAGTTAAGGAGTCGAATTTTTAAGAATTGATTCGAATTTTCAGAAACGTCTTAGGTAAAACTTATGTTTTTAAATGATTTTAGTAATATATTTCTAAAGAATGGAAATATTAAAGTTGGTGATTTCGGTATTTCGCGTTCACTGGCCACAACTGAAGAACTGGCAACTACGTTTATTGGGACTCCTTATTACATGAGTCCGGAAGTTTTGAAGTATGAAGGATATAATAATAAATCAGATATTTGGTAAGTCGACTGTCTTATAGTAAATGATTTGTTAGGTGACTGGAGATGACTGGCAGAAAATGGTTAACCTAGGTTTCATGTTCATTTAAATTTAACAGAAGAGGTGTTTTTGTGGCCATTTATCTGACTCCAGTTCGATCGTATGATGAGTGTCATCGAAACATACCTGCCATCAATACTCGTATACAATTATCGAGTTGAATCGCGTTAGTGAATAACGGGATTAAATAAGTCAAACTGAAGAATGAATTTTGAATATGTGTATTTTATGTAATCGTTGACCTAAACATACAATCAGGGAAACGAATCGAAGAAGAGACAGCAAAGCGGAGCGGATTGAAGAAGGCATATTAGCCAAATCGATTTAACCAAGCGTGAATCGATACTTATAATCAGACAAAAATAGACATGTGATTAGTAATATAAGAAATGCACACGCATACGCTTACATAAAAACAGTCAAGGTTGATAAGCGAATAATTAACAGACTCAAAACGTGACTCAAGAATAATGGATAAATTGCCCTGTCCAGAAGCTAGAACGAGCTATGTGAACTTTGTATAGCAACCGACACTACAACGTATCTGCTGCCTTGAGGGAACTACTGCTACGCAGCTGGATTGATCCAGCGTTGTCCTGATTAATAGCTCGACGTGGTAACCATTAGGCTATTAGAGCAGTAATAAGCCTCCTATGGAAATGCGATATTAACTAATAATTGACCGATCAATAGTGACCGATTTCATGTTGTCTAGTTCATTTAGAGCTGTTCATATCACAAAAATGGAGTTGCAATGTTTTCACATGACAAACTGACTTGATACAGCGTGCACTACGTTGAGATGTTAATTGGTAAAAACATGCAAGAATGTATATGATGCTCGAAGAGTTGAATTCATTAGATGTCCAAAGGCTCCAAACACGATTGCATCACAGTCGATCAAAGGATCTGTCAGTTCCAATCGTCTATATTTTGTCGAACATTCTGCTTACATCCAGGTTATTTTATCAAGCAAAAGCAAGCTATTTCGTTGACAAGCTGTAGTTTTTTGTTACTAGTTAATTTGGGAGAGGAGCTTACATCGCTAACTAGATTTTTGCAAGCTGCACCCAATTAGTCTCTTCATGTCACTTCAGTCGATCGACTGTAACAGCACGATATTTCTTATCCCATTGCATGACGAAGCAACAGTTCAAGGCCCTCAGGTACCGAATGATCGTCTAACTGAAGTCAGTCCGTCATGTGAGACTGATAATTCTACAGATTCCACAACTCACCATGCTGACATACTTTCAGTTTCTATGCTTTCACTGTTGCCTCAGTGAAAGCCGATTCTCCATCAGGAAGAAACCATCACAAAATCCATTGGAAATCAACAATTAAATAACTTGAGTTGGAATTTCATGTAGTCTACTGCTTGTTTTAGACAGACAGACACCATGTACATGCAACAAACTATCCGTAAACATGTGGCTTAGCGTTGCTTATCTCTCTCTCACTCGATCATTTATTTCTCCGAGTTATTCCCATGTCTATGACAAGCATAATCACTTCTTGATGATTACACATCGAATTGTCTTTCACTGAATCTGATTAGCACCAATAGTTTTTCCGCAATCTGTTACAATGGATGCATAGTTTACTAAAACGTGCCAAATTTATGAAATTAGATTAGTAAATAAATAGATAAACATGGAGAACTGAATAGATTTTCTGGAAGAAAATAGATTACCTCAACTATTGATTAGAATACAGGAAATTAGCTCACACTTCGAAAACGGAATAATTTCAAGTGGCTGATCTATACATTTATTTCTTAAACAGATTTACGAAATTGAACATTGAAATCAAGTGTTACTATGTGACTGGTCTGAAGTCGATTTGTATTGTGGCAGTTAACTCTCTAGCTTGCATTATTCATACTCGAGTTCAACTGTTCTAGTGATGAGACGTTGGTGAACTCAGTAAGTTCAGTGAAAATGAATTTCATCTTAGTTTGACCAAGATGCAATAATCAACAGTATTGAGATTTACTGAGAAAATTATCACTGCTATCTTATGATATAATCCATGTTATTTTAATTAGGCACCCGGAATGTGTATTTACTGTATAGAGGTAAGTTTGTAATATCTTCCGTTTGAATTTTATGTATATGTATTTGTCTAGAGATGTTCTGAAGTGTGAGTTGGATGTTCTTTAAACCCTTTTGTGATTAGAAAATTACCGGTCTAAAATATCAGGGACTATAGCCTAAGATTGCTAGCCAAATTTCAACTTGGTCAGTAGAATTCGATGTACCCTAATAGATTAGATCAACGTATAACTGAATAACCAATCAACCGTAATTAGGTGATTTACATAACATTTTTTGAGATAGAAATAAATTTTACAATTAAAATTCCTTTGATATTGGCACACGTATTTAATTGATTTATCCTTATTGAAACTGGTCTCTCATATATTGTGGTTTTTACTATACTTTAATATTAGTTAAGTAGTTTTTGTAACCTTTTAACTATTGTATAGGTCAATTGGAATAATTCTGTATGAACTATGCACCCAAAGAAGAGCATTCACTGGAACTAATCTAATGCGTGTTATGTGGCAGGTTATAAATGATCCTTGTCCTCAGCTACCAGAAATTTATTCAAAAGAATTGCAAGACGTTTTAGAACTGTACGTAAAATTAATGAGAAGTTTATCCTAATGCTCTATTTGATATACTTGTTTCAGCATGATATTTTTATTCGTAAACGTCTCGCCAAATTTCCACTTGCTTTGAGTATTAATTGGTGCTCTTTGCTAAACACTAGCAACAATAAACTAACTTCATTTGTGAGTAATTAGCCAATTTTAAAGTCAAATGACTGAAATAATTATGGTTATTGTCTTTGGTTGTCGCTGGTCTGAGACAGCGAGGAAACATTTTTTGACCATGAAGTTAATACGTTCGCAAAGTCTTAATGTGTATAATTATTTATTTTCCGTAGAAACGACTCATACTGAGTAACAAAATGTTAAAATTAAATTTTTTTTTACTCATTGGGATATTGCAAAAATGTCACTATTCTCTTACTAGCATCCTACTCAATTCTCAGTTTATTTGAAAGTGTCACGTCAAACCTTGTTGATGATACCTAGAAATCTTTTGATTACATTATTCTGTAAGGAGCGTTGAGAAGATTTAATGACTATTTTAGAAAAGATTGGACTATAGGTAAATTAAAGTCAGTATATACGAATTATATTTGTAAAATCATAGCATATTCTAAGTGGATTTACTTAGAGCTATGGCCTAGCGATTTCACTCAAACTTCTTTCGGAGTATTTAAAATATAATTTATTTATGGTATTATTTCTTACGATCATAATTTAAGATGCCATTTTGTTAACAATCTGTAGAAATAAGATGATGGTATATACTGCTGAAAAAAATATATGAATAGTTCTTGACATTTGACAGACTTATAAGAGTGACTCCGATTCACATTAACACATAAGTGATGGTAGATAATTGAATAAATAAATGATGTATAGAATAAGTTATCATTTTCACAATGTTGGTTCGACATGAAATGTGCATTTATGCTGAATCGCTTATGAGATAGTAAGCTATTAGCATGGAGACCCAGAAACTTTTCATTTTCGAAACGTCAACACATAATAACTGTCAATCTTCTAAATCTCTTATTTTGTAATCAAATTATTTATTTATTAATGTATTCTATTTAAAAATATTCATTGCACCATACAATTATCAGCCGTTAACTATTTAATGTTTAATAACTGTCCTAATTATATTCTAGAATGTTAAAGAAGACTCCCCAAGAAAGACCATCTGCTTCAGAGCTTCTTCAATCAAATGTAGTTCACTCGTACTTACGTGTAAGTCCATCTCATTGGTACTGATTGTATTTGCTGGCTAGCCAAAAATCACCTGAATCGTATGCTTCTACCATCTCAAATTATTTTATGTTAGATATTAGGTAACATTATTGGGTGACACTTGATATAATATAGATGACTACAGAAAATCACGAAGTATGTTGTTTGAGGATTTCTTACGGGAAGTGGATTACATTTTAGTATTACTGAGATAAATGTTTGAGAAATCTCTGACAATTTATTATTAACTAACTAAATAAAATTCATGATCATACCAACCAATACTTATGATAAGAAATCTTAAACAGTATATTAAGTATGGCATTCGACAGAATTTACTTGAATATTCACAGCATACAATCCACACACTGAATGTTACATTATACTATTTGGTGAACTGACTGATGTTGAAAGTCTAGTCAATATATATATTTTGGGAAAACAATTTAAAAACTAATGTATTGATGGTTGAAACTAAGAGTTTGAAATCTAATTCTGAATAGATATGAATTTTCTCATAAGAAATCCTTAAACAACATACTTCGTGATTTTCTGTAGTCATCTATACAATATATATAATTTCGGGTATTTATTTAAATTTAAATCTTTAGGATTTATACAAAGAAACCATATTTCACATGCAAAATGAATTATCTGATGAAAGTCGGAAGAATGAGAATGAATCTAATAGGTAAGAAAGCTAAAGTGAATAATCCAAAAAACTATGTTTATTTGGTGTTTTATTCCTTAAAGTAAGAATATGTATAAACGATTATTTCCACCTAATAGACATACTAGCTTCAACTTATGTCATATGAAGCCAAATTTGATCTATTAAATTTTGATAATTATTATTGTCATGGGTGAAAAGTTATAGAAAGTAGTTGAGCGGTTAAATCATTCGTCTATTAAGCTGTGTTACCGATTCCAACCTCACTGTAGCTACTGTCATTTTTACAGTCTTGCAGCGCCATTATCTTAAACGTTTAGCAGTTCTAACGATTTCTAAAGTGAACATATTTGATAACAAGGAGTATTTTTGGTCTTATGAATCAAACTGCTTGAGATACCTTTTATGGATAATTTTAATCCCTGGTAAAGAGTTTATATATCTAACAGAACGTGTGTTAATCCATCAGGGAATTTTCAATTGCCAAGTATTCAGTCAAATATAGCCATTTATTACATTTAAAAAAAAAATTAATTGCATACTTACGAGGCTGCTGCTTATAATTGTTTTGGTATTCCGAAGTTTCAGTGTGTATAGTTTGTGGTTATCAGTAGAATCCAGGTTAAGAGTTTCATTCCATTCGGAACTAGTCGTCTGGACCTATTTTCATCCTAGTGCTGCCATTGACGTGTTAGCTCCGTTCTTCAAAAGTCCTTACCGCCGGAGACGGAAATCCGTGGGATAAGGCGAGGTGTGCATTTTTAGGGTCGACCTTTTCTAACCCCACCCCTCCTTGTGGGAAGGCAGCATCGCTGTCATGCTAGTTGTCTGAAGGAAACACCTTACTGCTTTCACACCTCTGTACAGTCAGCAGTACGACTTCGCCTTCGGACCTTGGGATTGCTGCTTTTAGTCTCACCGCTCTTCAACCGACCTGTCTGGCATGGTAGGACCTTGAGGAACGATTGTTCCAGCCAGCATAGCTCGATTGGATCATCACGATAGGCAAGCCCGACCACCACGTCAAGGTAGCAGCAACGGTCGGGAGGTAGCAGCAGTTCGCTCCGTCCTACTTTATGGCAGTGAAACATGGCCAATAAGAGTAGAGGATATTCGTAGGCTACTAGTGTTCGATCATAGGTGTCTTCGAAGCATTGCTCGTATATCCTGGGACCACCGGGTAAGTAATGCAGTTGTTAGGAAACGAGTACTAGGTAGGGATGGCAAATCGATTGATGAAGTAGTGAAACTTCATTAGTTGAGATGGCTGGGACATGTGTTACGTATGCCCGACCACCGACTGCCCCGACGTGCAATGTTTCATGGTGTAGGAGTAGGTTGGAAGAAAGCTAGGGGTGGCCAGACCAAAACGTGGCACAAATCAATGAAGTCACTGACAAGTGGACTGGGCCATGTTAGTAGGTGTAGACTACCTGGTTGGGATTCGCGAGATGACAGCAACCGATGGTTAGATACCTTGAATGACATGGCTCAAAATCGTTTGCAATGGCGAAGATGCATCCACTCTTTGTGTTCTACCAAATTCTAATCTTCTGAATTCCTCATGTCTTTATCTTTTTCTCTTTCCAAATTTATTTCACTGTACTATACTCCTTCAATAATTTCTTCAAACCCTAATCTTTTGGATTCCTGATTATACTCCTACTACTTCTACCACTATGGGATTTGAATCGACAACTGCATCTCTGTGCTAATGTGGTATGGCAACTCGAACTGATGTACGTACGTACGAGGTTCTACGTTGTGACTGACTGACTGAGTGCTGCCATTCGCACTGAGACTAGATGTCAACATTCTAGCTACTAAGTTAACGAGTCCAGATAACCATTTGTTAAATCGACTTGAAGACATCATGATTTGAGAACACTTTGATTATTCCAAGTTATGAACGACTGGGAGATTTTTAAAATACAAAACTTGATCTGTGCAAACCAGGCGGTTAATGCACAAGAGTTAGCCATACGGAAATAAAGGAAATGGAAATAGAGAGGAAACGACTTACAGAGGAGCTCTAATATTCCCCAAAAAGAAATAAAGATGTGATTCAATAATTAAGTTTATATAGTAACAGCAATGACCATGAGAATATATACCAGAATAGCTTGTTAAGAGAGAAAGTAAGCAATCAGTGAATGGAAGAAGTCAGTGTGATAATATTAATTAAAGTCATCAAGGAATTAGTTATTTGTAGAACCTACATTTTATTAACAAAAGGTGAAAAACCAAATAACTTGACACTTCGGTAGGAAATATTATTATAGGGATGTAATTTCTCATTGTTGGTATTAAAGGTTGCAGTTGATTAGACTCTGTTACTACACGTTCATCCTTAGCTGACTTCCTCTCCATAGCACTTAGTCACTGTTTTTGTATTTTTAGACTTATATCGTTTGAAGAATTTATTAGTTCACCTGATTCAGTTTTACATAAACAACAGTCAATTGAAGACGCTGAAAAGTTTCCAATACAATCAAATGAAGAGACTGAAGAGAATACAGAACATTCAGAAGATCAGTACTTAACACCACGTCAAAAAATTAAATTAAATAAAGCAACTGAATCAGATAAAACTATTGCAGTCTTAAGGTATTTCAGCATTTATTATATTCTTCTACCAAATTGTTAATATGTTTGTCTATTCTATAATGAATCATTATTAGTACTAAGTAAAAACTAAAACATTTCGGAATCACGTCTTGAACAGAAATACCAAATTTAAAATACATTGTAATTTAGTTATTATAGACGCTTGTCGGGCATGTATTTGCTTGTAATGAAATGTGACCACGTGAAGTACAGTGATAAAAATTTTTTTCTAGGCAAGTATCTTGTAAAATAAATAATTTTGATTTAATCAAGAATAAAATTAGCTTATTTGGTTTGTTACCATACGTCAGGCATTTTATTCTTAAAATCAAAGAGCTCAGTTGACCAACTCCGTTTAATAAACATACTCTGCAGTGTTAATTTGAAAGCAGTAAAAAAGAGGGAGTACTAAATAGCTGTTTAGTTGTAGATTAGAACTCCCTATCCGTTTGCAAGTACGGCTTCATAGGGGATCAAGCACACGATCTCTAGCTTCCTCAGACAGCACAATAACTTTCGAGCATTGAATAATAACTGTGTCTAAAATTTTCAAATCAATCTTATTCGCAATGTTGCACAGTGATTAATGCTATCTCTTAATATAGATCAATTTCTCCAACAGTGATTTCTTGATCAGTCAGTCAGGCAGAACATCTCGATATTGCGCAACAGTAACTATCAGTGGAATCCAAGATACATATTTTGTGCTGTATAAATATTGCCAGAATGACAGATGCGCTTCAGTCATAGTTAGTATTAGTGTTCACTTCAACGCTAAAACAACAGTTATCGCGAAAAATCCCGCTCATTAATGATCAACATACTGAGTTCGATATGTGCAATTATATACTATCCATGCAAGATTTACTTTGTATAGTCAGTGAAATATGGTTTCTTATCCCAGATTCCAAATATTTTTTATCATTAACACAAATCTTCAATGATGTTTTTCTTCATCACGCATTATAATTTAGAGATTTAGCAGAACAGCTTACACATACTCGAAATAGTTTAAATTCTACCAAGGAAACACAACTGTTCACCTGGCAGGTAACTTGCTTTTTGAAGCCTATATCATGGTTTGGTGAATATTCTGCAAATTTAATTTATAATCGATCTATTGTTCTTTATTCAATTGAAAGTATTTTAATAATAGTACTAGTTCTTTAGTAAAAGGTTTGAGAACAGGGTTGTTAACAGGTTGTCCTAAGTGTTGCAGTTTTACCTACTCCATAAACAATAAACCAACTTAAATCGACAGAAGATCGATTAAGGACACAAGGTCCGATGTTTCCGATCCTCCAATCAGAAAATCAAAAGGCTAGATGGATGATTGTAGATATCTTTTATCATTTAGATATGTGACTCATATGATTGCATTAGTGAAATGCAATACCACAACGCACTACAAAGAAAACTCAATGGGTGCATAATTAGGACATTTTAATACGAAGAAGAGTAAAAAGTCAGCTGACTATCATTTACGAAAGATAACAGACAGAAACAATAAATCTGTCAAAAGGTAGCTTTCCATCAACTTTGTACTATTAAATATGTACTAACTAATTCACTAAGCAATAGCTACCAAAGTTCCATATTTCTTTTTTTCACACTTCTTTTTAAGGTCTCATACATGAAATATGTTTTTAAATGTATGCGAAATCAATTTAGTTAAATTGAAAGTAATCATTCGATAAGAAGACAAGTGCTGTTAATCTTTTATTGTATGATTTTACTGTGGGATGTTAACGTACGTGTTGTTTAAATGTACAGCTACAAGATATCTATTAAAACAAGTATATTCTGTATTACTTATGTGTAAGAATAGTGGTTTTAAATGTTGAAAGTATAAAACTTTTTTCCCAAGATTATTAAATACACAGTAAAGTTGATCTGTTAATGTAACTTTCGGATATGATATATGTTGAGTGATTGCTACGAATGAGGTATCGAATACTTACATAGTGATTTTTTAATGCTCATTTTTATCTTAATCTATTAATATTTAATAGTCCAATCAACTTGCTTTTCAGTATGGGTTGTGGAAATCGTTGATTTTTTGACTGAGATCATGAATCGATTTTTTATTGTTAGCCTAAATGTAACAAACTTCTGACACATTGAACTGCGTAGTAATATGAAAGTTTAAGTAAGACATTTCTAGTTTGTATACCCTCATCACTCAATCAATTATGACATGCACTCATCCTATAATATGAAAAATACTCCCTTTTCTCCAACGGTGTGCACTAAAGATCTTACATGAAATGAAATTCAAGGCTTTCAACAGTTCCAACGAGCATGATATCTTCTGATCACCCTACTAGAGGTTAAGCGCTCGCGCGCGAGACTGAAAAGTCCTGTGTTCGAATCTCGCGAGGCGCGACCGTGTATGCGCACTGCTGAGGAGTCCCACAACTGGACGAAACGGCCGTCCAGTGCTTCCAGGTTTTCCATAGTGATCTAGCTTCAATTGACTGATGATCTCAACTATTAAAAAGATATATTTGCTGCCATATATAAATCATTAGTATAGGGGATTTATGCAAATCTTAGATACAATTTAAGTACAAATGGCATGAATAACAAAGTATTACGACCAGCTTCAAGTTAACGTTTTTTGTGCATTATCTCTCCGGATTAATTTATTCACAGTGTAAACTTCTAAATTTTCAGTTAATAAACGTTCAGTAACTTACAGTTGATCCTAAATTGAATTTTAATTAATTAACTTTTCTTACAATTTAGAAAGGATATCCATCATTGAATCATATATGGCCTACAATTCAAATGCCAACAGAGAAACTGCTAAATGAATTAAAAAATCTTTATTCAGAGAAAATAAACAATGAAATAAGCGTGACAGATGAACTAGATGATGATTTGGAAATTGGAGGTGATTTATCTTTGCCAAAGAGACCAGGTTTAAAAGGTGAATAAATTTTAATTGATACTTTAATTTGGACAACACTTATTAATATACTTTTCATAGTTTACATCCCCGATTGATCTTAGCTGGAAAACCATTGAAAACTAGAAGATGCTGAACAAATGTCTAATCCGAGTGTCGGACTCCTTAGCAGTGTGCATTCATGACTATTGGACCAAGGACCTTTAAGGTCTCGCGATGAGTGCTTAACCTTCAGACTGTTGAGCTGAAATCCATTTGTGTACATGTCTAACTTCATTCAAGTTGCCAAAATAAGCAACCACTTTCCATTGCTTTCGGTGGATAAAATCTCATACTACATCTAGTTGAAGTCCAGGAGCTGCAACCTGAAGCTGGTCTCTAGGTGGGCACATGAATATTATTGATACAGAGGGTTTGCGAGAATTGTCTAACTTCTACACTTTACGTCACGGACTGATGTTAGTTAAACAACCAGTGAAAATCAAGAAACACTAAATGGCAAAACTAAAGGTTTTCAGTTCAATCTCAGTTCGAGTAATGCTTGTGTGATAACGAGGATTCCTATGCTATTAGAAAACAGCTGTCCGGTTATTCTAGTTTCCAGTGACTGTATAACTAAGATCAGTTCATAACATGATTTTTCTACAAACTTTTCCACTTTATACAAAATTAATAACTGAACATTAAAAAAAATGTAGATATTATCAGATTTGTGTAGTCTTCTGTTGATCTATTAACATGTTACTAAGATATTCAAGGAAAAAAATCTAACTTACTCATGATTTCATTTGTCACCCATTTTCAAGCAAATTAACTGATCATTCATGAATAAGCATAATGAAAGTGATTGCTACTTATTGGTCAATCTGTGTAAACATCTCAGCCCTGTCAATGATTTCTCCAATAACCCAATGATAATGCCTCTAACTGAGATATTAAGTGATATAACTTCAAATTCCACAAAATAATTGAGTCATTTTGAAATATCAAGTACACATCCCTGATTATTGTCAACAGGGCACGTTTGGGGTTTTCTACCAATAGTCTCTAACCGCGTAATAGATCCCCTATGATTCGGCTCCTTCCATTAAGCTCCATAAGTTAGTTATATTTTACGTATTAATTGTAGCTTAATGATACTTTGACTAAAGTTGCTAAGGCTTGTGAAATGATGTCAGGTGATTGTAAGCGGTGAAAAAGCATCCATGGTTCTCGGCTCAGTAATAGTTCACACTTGTTAAGAAGATGTACATAGAATCGTGAAAAAACTATGAACTATGATCATTGTGAATTAATGCGGTGATACACTGAAAGGAATAAACATTAAACCTGTTTTACTGTTTGTGTGTATGTTATGGTGCATTTGTCTATTCACATAGAATATGTAAAAGCTGATAAATAACAGTAATGAAGAGTAAACAGATATATTACTGATTTCACTAGGACTTTTTCTAATTTACTGTATAAGGATTTTCACATCTACAAAGTTACATGATTTATTCAATAAAAAGTAGTGATCTCATTCCATATATATTCAAAACTTGGCCATTGGATGAGGTACTATCACCCAGTTCAGTAACATTATCTTGTTGTTTATAGTATTTATGTTTAAAATAAATTACTGATACAATTTAAACATTCAACAGTTAAGATCTTGGACTAAATAAAACAAGTGAAAATGAATAGACGATGTCAAAAGTGTTAAATTATCTGTCATATGACATGCAGAATGACTGATTGGTGTGTTGCATGGATTTATGGGTAATTTTTAAACAACGTAGTTATATTCAGGGATTTTGACCACAATTAAAAATATCACAAATGGTACATATTTTTACGATCACCTAGCAAGTAATTTTGTGAAGCAAATTTTCTATTCAATATACGTCCCATTTTTTATTTTATTTCTAGACGATAAAAAGTTACTAGGTAAAGGTCCAGGTGCTGAAGATGAAAGTCTTGGAACATTTAATTTTTCAAATTTTACAAAACATGGAAGTGAACAAATCGAAGATTTAACTAACAATACGAGTTTTACTGAAATAAAATTTTTTTATCCTTTACCTAGATTAACTAGTCCAATTTATGATTATGTCATAATGAACGAATTTAAGAAACAAGTTGATAATAATGATGACCCTAATATTATTAAAAAGGATAACAATAATCAAGAGAATTTGTTTATACGTCGACAACTTACGTTTCCAGAAATGTTAAATCAAAATTATACACAATCAGCAAGACAGTTAAGTGATATTAATAGTTCCAAATTGAAATGTAATAGTGGTAAGTATGCAAGTCATGGAATTAGCTTGTTACTCAGAGAAGTTTACTATCATTGAAGTTACACAGTCTTTTTCCATATAGGAATCATCAGTGTATGTTACACCTCTGTTGGTAACACATGAGCTCTTGCCCGTGAATCCAATGGCATACATATAGGTATAATTACTTACCTAAGAGAGTAGGTAATCACTGCTCCCTTTAAACGTATTTGCTACAATTGACTGTCTCTTACATATAACATGGATATTACTGGAACGTAGACGTTCGTCCACACACTTCATAATATGCGCACAAGCATAAGCACCCTCAGGGAAGGTTGATAGTAACCTCTGTTACTTCTTATTTTAGTAAAGTCTTCAACCTGGTTTAGGCCGCTGATTTCATTAGACTTAGGACAGACATTTCAACTTTCGTCATTTTTGCTAGTCCGGTGCTTACCCCTTGCATATACCAAAATACACAACTACACAAGCTGACGCTCATGTGATCCATATACATAAGCGTGCACATCGGGTAGCTCTCAAGATTTGAGGGGTTAAAGGTTGGAATCCTAAGTAATCCAGATACAGCAGAGTGAAGAGTTAGTCTGATCTACACCGACTGCCAAAACTGGCTAGCAAGGTTGTCCCTACTACCCAGCAGCGCCACAAGGAGGCCTGAGGTCGGATTTTGCTGCCCGAAAATCTTTCACCAAGATAAAATACCTTTAACACAGTTTTTACTACAGAATCTCTAATAGTATAATCCTTATGATATCCCAGCATGCTGTTCATTCCTCAGGCTCCAAGTCTTCAGTTGTGGTCTAAGTTTAACCGGTTCATGGTTTCAGTGGGATTTATTTTCACTTTTTAGTTAACATTCTCCTCGTTGATTTGAATAATTTTTTATATGCTGATTTTCTTTTTGTGTCGTACTGAGATATTAACTTTTACATTGCACTTTTCTGTTTGAAAATTCAATAAAAGAGAAGACTATGTTAAGGAGACACCAAATGTTTCATTAAATCTGTAAAGACAAATAAGCAGGACATATATTGTAGCTTTGGAATTGAATTGGAATTAATTTCCTTTTTGTACTACCACTTAAACGTTGTTCATTATTCAAATCTCTTTTATTTTTCGAGGTTGGAGATGAAGAACATTATCACATAATTATTCATTTTGTCATTATGATCATCGATGTTATGAAAAAATTTTTAAATAAATTATGTACTCAATAGTATTCTAAACATTATTAAAACACACTCTTTTAGATTGTGACGTTTCTTACACTTTATTTCACCTAAAAAAGACATTCAGAAAGAACATGCTAGTTTCTCCGCATGTTGTAAGGTACTGTACATTAGGCCACTTTAAAGTCGAAAGCAATCACATTGGCAAAAATAATAATATTCACTGAAGTAATTTCACATTGGTCTTTATTAAATAAAGACTAATCATGTTCACTACACACCTATTATAACTAACATGAAAGCTGAAGTTCTGAAAGTCCAAATGTATGTCAGTTGTTCTCAATTAATTGAACAGTACAATCAAAAGCTTGATCACGCTATGTTTATTGGATCTCGATACTTGCAATCTAGGTAGCCTTTTTGTTAGATTTATTCCTATTGATAAATATCTTTCAAGGCCGTAGATACATTTTTAGTCAGTCCAGTAAATTGTTTTTAGATAGAACAATGTTATGTGTCCGCTTAATGTATCTCTGTTAGACACTACATGGTCACGTTTTATACTCATAATAATTTTACTTCACTTTTCGAAAAAAAATTTATTTTAGTATTTACTGACGATACTCAACTAATGGAAACTTATTACACAAATTATGATAATGAACTGTTAAATTATACAAAAAATTTTAATGAGGAGAATTCAAAAGAATTAATTAAAAATGAAAATATTATTCAAAATGATTTGGAAGATATAGAAAATCAAGATAATGAAGATTCAACTGATACATTGAACGATGTACTTGTTTGCATGAAAGCAGCTTTGTATCACCCTGAAGGTTGGACCATAGAATTGTTTCAGTTTATGTTGTGAGCTTATAACTTTCATGTTATATGACTATAAATGTTGTGTAGTGTTTGAAATAGGTGCGGCACAACAAACTAATCGTTTTAATTCAAAGTATTTTGAATAATGTTAATAGCATTAGAATTAAAAAGGCAATTTGTCAGTTAGCGACAGCTAGCTGAAATTAGTAAAAAGTACAGAATAACAGTATGGTTTCATAGTCAGTTACTTATCACGACTCGATACATGAGAATAAGAGTGGGGATGTTTTCTGTTTTTTGGGATTAATAATGAGTAATGAATAAGACGGGTGCATAAAAATTGGGTTATGAGATTACTAAAAAAGTTAAGTAGGATTAGAATTAAAAATTAGGATGTTAAAGGAAAGACAATGTTTTTGAAATAGCGTAGTAGCAATTAAGTAAAAAGACAGGGAAAATTAAGAGGATGTATAAACATTCGCTGCTTACAAAGATTAGGTTTATCGACATGTGTTCCTATAGCATCTGGTGTGTGCAAGAGCCAGATTATGGAATCATAGGGTAAGTTGTTTGAGATTCTCTAAATAACTTTAAAAGCTGGATTTTTATCGACGTGATGACTGGTATCAAATAAATGTGGCAGAATACAGTTTCATAGTGTTCTATTTTGTTATTTGGTCAATCACTTAATATAACTGTCTTTGCAAGAGCATTTGAAATGTTAACCACTCATAGAAACAGAAGAACTAGGAAATTTATCTTTATTTCGCTGACTCACTCTCGGGTGGCTAGAGAAGGTAGGGCATAGTGTAGCTGCGTTGAATTTATGTCCTGTGGTATTCCACTTGCGAGGAATTACCATTTCTCTGGCTATATCACTGTATAACTGTAATTTCAAGAATAAAGGCTGAAAAATGTGCATATCGACTTTATGTAGACGGTTTACGATATACATATTTTCTCATTTTCCCTCCAGTTCTTCTCGTCAGTAAGGCGTCACAGTTTTCTTTTTCCTTATTGAAAATGATTGATTAAGGGACTCTGTTAAACGTTTCTGGTAGGCTCTGAGTTTCACTATTGTTTTTCGAAACTAGAAAATATATCATCTATGTATCAAAAATAAAATCTTTCGGGATTCGTTTTGTTGATTCGATCCGAATATATTTATATGATGACAGTTTTATTCTCTAAATGTAAATTTACAACATTGTATTAAACTTTTAGACAGTAATACAATAATCTTGGATGATGAAGCAAAGGACATATTTAGTCCAGAGGCTAAAGCTAAAAGAATTGATGCTTTAAAAAAGTAAGCACTATAGTTCATTTTATATGCCTATTTTTCAAATCTTCGTTTTAAACTACGTTTCGATAGTATCATGAGAAGATGAAGATTATCAGAACTATGTTGTGATATATTAACGCAATACATTTTGAACAAACTGATCACAAATACTTGTTAAGAATATGTATATATAAAAATAAAAGGTCAACTGCACTAGAAATGGAGGGTAAGAGGAGACAAGGATAATAATAATAGTAATAGTAATAATAATAATAATGTGAAAACAATTTGAAACCTCATCACTCTGAATAATAAGCTTATATTACCAGGATTGGTTTAAAGTGAGAACAAACTGTTTTTGAATAAACAAACGGTGTTCCCTCCCAGTGTCTTTTGTACAGGACATCAACACAACTCAGATCAAGAACACGTGATTAGCCTAACTGTAACGTCAATATATTTCCACACCAAAATCCGACACAATCCAACAACAAAGAACAGTTAATCAATAATAATAAATATAACACCTGTCACAGTATCTACATGTCTGACTACTCAAAACAACCAATCATTATCATTCTCGCCCACACACGCAATGACAACAATAATTGGTAAAAATAGTTAAGCAGGTAAACCGATAAACACAATCCAGTTTAAAACAGATAATTACAAAAACACAATTTTCAATTATGACGTAAATTAATTCAAAGTGATAAATAAACTTTAGAAAACTAAGACAACTAATATTTGGAAAATCATTGTCCTAAATCTAAAATAATCTATACTTTTAAAACTGTATAAACTTTAGTAATTTTGAAACAATCACAGAAGTCCTTTGTCGTTAACAAATAATAACACAAATTCATTTTAAAGTCTATTTTAATTTCATGCAATTGATACTGCCGTTAGTTGTTAGTTTGATTTATCCAATGAGAATTACCTGTGCATAGTCCCAAGTTTTCTAAACTTGTATATCAATCATATAAATGTCACAAAATAATTTTCCTACAAAACCTTGATCATTAGAACCATCTACAGCTACAGATATTGGAGAATTCATGCATGAGAATCGATCCCATTTTATTCTAAGTTTGTGCATGTTTACTTACCCATATACGAAACCACTTCTTTCTTCAAGCATAACTGGTTTGTATCAGCGAATAAAATCAAACTAGAAAATAAATTCAAATGGTTGATATTTTTAAAGCTTGTAGTTCACTGAACAACATCTGTAATAGCAATTTCTGAAACCGAAATGTGACACATTTTTCTAACATTTTTATATTATTATCTTTCCACACACATTTACTTTGCAATGACACTTATCGTACATTTTATATAAAGGTTGGATATCAAAATTTGATACGGTCATTTACGATTATCGTAGTAATGGGGAAGTAGATTTGTAAAGACTTTAATTTGAATTTGGTTTTCATCTGTGAATAACGACTGAATATGTAATAATGAAGTTAACTGTAAGGTACTGGTCAACGATAGGAAATTGGTTGCTAAGGCAATTGATATCCATCGATTCAGATAGCTGGAGCATGTGCTACGTTTGACCAGCCATCACATATCTTAATGCACAATACTGCTTGGGATAGAAGTTGCTTAAAAGAAAGCTTCAGTCAATCAGAGTAAGATATAGTATCAGTCCACGAGATCACTGATTACTGATCAACATATCCTGAGTTCCTATACTACTTCATACTTTTTACTCTACTAGGTTTCTCTCTCTTTTTGAACCATCTCTCTATGCTTAGTCTTAACAGTATTAGTACTATTATTAAGTCCTTAGTTATTTGACTTGTTAATTTCATCTCGCTGTATCAGACCAGGTACTATATTTATTGTGAGTGGCTTAATAACACCATCCAGAAAACTATTAAAACTGAGGAGCACTGAATTACTGTTTCATCTTACTTTGGTGCCTCTCAATATTGCACCCCAAGGACCCCACACAAGATGAATTTCAGTTTATCCGTGATGAGAAATAACTTCTAAACCATCATCCTAATGATGATGAAGGTCAGGTTCAAATAATTTGTTCATACTACACTAACGAATAATCGAAAATTATTCAGCAATATCTATATTAAAAATATATCGTTTGTATTTCAGATATTGCATCAACAAACTTGGCGAAAAAGAATTTCACAATGCTTACCATTATCTTTATCAAAAACGTATTTTGGAAAATAATCAATCTGGTGAATTAACAATACTAAATGGCTTAAAATGTTATTGTTCCGACGTGACTACCGGCTTTCTACTTGATCATTTATTATTTCTTGAAAATGATGCACTAAAACAAACAATAAATATTCAATTATCTGAATCTATTCATCAAATCTTAAATGATAATTTGCCATTTTATACGTAAGCTAAATTACGTAAACATAACTAATTCATGGCTGTGAATTTTATTTCTATCTCTGATTTTTCTAAACGTAGACTATAGTTCTCATTATTTGGAAAATTTTCCATTCTATTTCTAAGAATAACAGTTACTATTGTTGTTTACTTTTTCATAACCTATTTTATTTTATGATTAACAACTACTTATCTTATAGATTTTCTGCCCTGAAAACATTTCTTATTTTGTAGTTTCTATTCTAATTTGAAATGATTCCATCCACCAATAAATATACAGTTTTAGAAGTTACCTTTTATTAACCTGTCATTTTTTATTGTTACGCTTAATTATTAAACAAGTGAGATTTTCGAAATTAGATTTCCATTTTTCAGATAATGCTTTGAGTTTAAGAATAGTGGGACAAATGCATTCACTCTGTTTCTTCACTTAGATCTTGAGTTTTAAAATCATCTTATTCTTAAAGATCATTAAACTCTCAACAGTGGTATATTTTTGTCGCTGTTTACTACTATATTGACCACTAGGTTCTTTGTATTAGATAAACCATTTATAGTTTACTAAGTAAGCTTTTTAATGTTTTTGTTTGTGATGGTGAGTTCACAAAGCAATAGACAGCCTTCCCTCTATTTCACATCTAGTGGTTACTTGAGGTCACAACGTGAAACAATCAAATAATATTGTCTTACTTCTTTTTCCCAGCAGTTTAGTCATCCATTGTCGGCGGAAAAAGAAAAGTAACGTTCTCAATCTTATGAAAAGTTAAATAAACTTCAATACGTTAAAAAATTCACTTTCACGCATTATATCTGATTCTAGTGGTCCATATATTTGAGCTTGCTCTAATCAGTTCCATCATATACTTCGACTAAGGCATAAGCTTGCTACTAATCTTGCATTCAAGGTAAATCGTGTTACACGTGATTTTGTCTTAAAACCCCAACTAAATATTGTATTAGTACGTATTTAGGCGAGAACTGACAGAAATTCTTTTATGTCATTGTTGCAACTTACCGAAGTATTACTTTATATATTCATAATTCCTCATGCTTCATGATGATGTTCTACAGCTGACATACTTGTCTCGAATAAAAAGTAACTTTAAATATCCACAAGTAGTTCAAGCGAGGATAAATCGAACACAAACAAATCATTTAAACATTAACTGATATTCCTTTCTTACAAAATTTAAAAAATCTAATAGGTTTCCTACAGTTTATTAGTATAATAATTGAACTGTGAAATTCAAACAAACTATTTCGAAAACGAGAAAGAATTATTGATGTCATTGAGCAGAGACAACCCAATTCAAGGAATGAACTAACTTTGAAATATAAGGAACTAAATCTCAATGGGCTCTTTTTAAATATAGCGTATTTGCTACGAGCACTGAAGGTCCAGGGGTGAAATCACTTTTATAGTTTTATATGTACATCGCGGGGATAATCGAGGTGCGACGAAACGAATATGTAATGATCGCTGGTTTTTAAAGATTTTTTACTAAAATCAGGTCTTAACGTAGTTGATCTTCAGTTTGAGTAATCTGTGCAACTCTTTTTAACCAACCTTCATAAAGAGCAATCTTCAGTAGATAAGTGTTACATGACAGAATAGTCATATGTAATCACTGGATAAACAAAATTCTATAGTGCACCATGATGTGACTGATCAACAGTTAACTAATATTTTTAGTTGAAAAAAGTATTCAATTTACGTTACTTTACAGCGCAGTTGAAGAAACCATTTACCGCTTAACTCTCTTCATAAACATACTGTTACATTAGTGTGAGTGCCCGAAAATAATCAATTGTAAAGATTAAATTTGAGTACAAAATAATAATATATGTGCAAGCTAAAAAACATATTAAATAAAGGATGCTTGAAACCACTGTGCAATTATTATTTGACTAGTTTTCAGTTTACTAAGGATAATCCTTCTGATAGCGAAAATGTCAATCACTTTAATTAAATGATACCGTGTTCATCGAAAACCTTAAGTGTTTTAACTTATTTGTCCTTAAATATATTATAAACAAAAAACTTGCGACTTTGATGAACTGTTAGGAGAGATATAAAATCATCTGAAACTTGTGAAGCTATATTTATTGGATGTCCAAAGGCTCCAAACACGATTGCATCACAGTCGATCAAAGGATCTGTCAGTTCCAATCGTCTATATTTTGTCGAACATTCTGCTTACATCCAGGTTATTTTATCAAGCAAAAGCAAGCTATTTCGTTGACAAGCTGTAGTTTTTTGTTACTAGTTAATTTGGGAGAGGAGCTTACATCGCTAACTAGATTTTTGCAAGCTGCACCCAATTAGTCTCTTCATGTCACTTCAGTCGATCGACTGTAACAGCACGATATTTCTTATCCCATTGCATGACGAAGCAACAGTTCAAGGCCCTCAGGTACCGAATGATCGTCTAACTGAAGTCAGTCCGTCATGTGAGACTGATAATTCTACAGATTCCACAACTCACCATGCTGACATACTTTCAGTTTCTATGCTTTCACTGTTGCCTCAGTGAAAGCCGATTCTCCATCAGGAAGAAACCATCACAAAATCCATTGGAAATCAACAATTAAATAACTTGAGTTGGAATTTCATGTAGTCTACTGCTTGTTTTAGACAGACAGACACCATGTACATGCAACAAACTATCCGTAAACATGTGGCTTAGCGTTGCTTATCTCTCTCTCACTCGATCATTTATTTCTCCGAGTTATTCCCATGTCTATGACAAGCATAATCACTTCTTGATGATTACACATCGAATTGTCTTTCACTGAATCTGATTAGCACCAATAGTTTTTCCGCAATCTGTTACAATGGATGCATAGTTTACTAAAACGTGCCAAATTTATGAAATTAGATTAGTAAATAAATAGATAAACATGGAGAACTGAATAGATTTTCTGGAAGAAAATAGATTACCTCAACTATTGATTAGAATACAGGAAATTAGCTCACACTTCGAAAACGGAATAATTTCAAGTGGCTGATCTATACATTTATTTCTTAAACAGATTTACGAAATTGAACATTGAAATCAAGTGTTACTATGTGACTGGTCTGAAGTCGATTTGTATTGTGGCAGTTAACTCTCTAGCTTGCATTATTCATACTCGAGTTCAACTGTTCTAGTGATGAGACGTTGGTGAACTCAGTAAGTTCAGTGAAAATGAATTTCATCTTAGTTTGACCAAGATGCAATAATCAACAGTATTGAGATTTACTGAGAAAATTATCACTGCTATCTTATGATATAATCCATGTTATTTTAATTAGGCACCCGGAATGTGTATTTACTGTATAGAGGTAAGTTTGTAATATCTTCCGTTTGAATTTTATGTATATGTATTTGTCTAGAGATGTTCTGAAGTGTGAGTTGGATGTTCTTTAAACCCTTTTGTGATTAGAAAATTACCGGTCTAAAATATCAGGGACTATAGCCTAAGATTGCTAGCCAAATTTCAACTTGGTCAGTAGAATTCGATGTACCCTAATAGATTAGATCAACGTATAACTGAATAACCAATCAACCGTAATTAGGTGATTTACATAACATTTTTTGAGATAGAAATAAATTTTACAATTAAAATTCCTTTGATATTGGCACACGTATTTAATTGATTTATCCTTATTGAAACTGGTCTCTCATATATTGTGGTTTTTACTATACTTTAATATTAGTTAAGTAGTTTTTGTAACCTTTTAACTATTGTATAGGTCAATTGGAATAATTCTGTATGAACTATGCACCCAAAGAAGAGCATTCACTGGAACTAATCTAATGCGTGTTATGTGGCAGGTTATAAATGATCCTTGTCCTCAGCTACCAGAAATTTATTCAAAAGAATTGCAAGACGTTTTAGAACTGTACGTAAAATTAATGAGAAGTTTATCCTAATGCTCTATTTGATATACTTGTTTCAGCATGATATTTTTATTCGTAAACGTCTCGCCAAATTTCCACTTGCTTTGAGTATTAATTGGTGCTCTTTGCTAAACACTAGCAACAATAAACTAACTTCATTTGTGAGTAATTAGCCAATTTTAAAGTCAAATGACTGAAATAATTATGGTTATTGTCTTTGGTTGTCGCTGGTCTGAGACAGCGAGGAAACATTTTTTGACCATGAAGTTAATACGTTCGCAAAGTCTTAATGTGTATAATTATTTATTTTCCGTAGAAACGACTCATACTGAGTAACAAAATGTTAAAATTAAATTTTTTTTTACTCATTGGGATATTGCAAAAATGTCACTATTCTCTTACTAGCATCCTACTCAATTCTCAGTTTATTTGAAAGTGTCACGTCAAACCTTGTTGATGATACCTAGAAATCTTTTGATTACATTATTCTGTAAGGAGCGTTGAGAAGATTTAATGACTATTTTAGAAAAGATTGGACTATAGGTAAATTAAAGTCAGTATATACGAATTATATTTGTAAAATCATAGCATATTCTAAGTGGATTTACTTAGAGCTATGGCCTAGCGATTTCACTCAAACTTCTTTCGGAGTATTTAAAATATAATTTATTTATGGTATTATTTCTTACGATCATAATTTAAGATGCCATTTTGTTAACAATCTGTAGAAATAAGATGATGGTATATACTGCTGAAAAAAATATATGAATAGTTCTTGACATTTGACAGACTTATAAGAGTGACTCCGATTCACATTAACACATAAGTGATGGTAGATAATTGAATAAATAAATGATGTATAGAATAAGTTATCATTTTCACAATGTTGGTTCGACATGAAATGTGCATTTATGCTGAATCGCTTATGAGATAGTAAGCTATTAGCATGGAGACCCAGAAACTTTTCATTTTCGAAACGTCAACACATAATAACTGTCAATCTTCTAAATCTCTTATTTTGTAATCAAATTATTTATTTATTAATGTATTCTATTTAAAAATATTCATTGCACCATACAATTATCAGCCGTTAACTATTTAATGTTTAATAACTGTCCTAATTATATTCTAGAATGTTAAAGAAGACTCCCCAAGAAAGACCATCTGCTTCAGAGCTTCTTCAATCAAATGTAGTTCACTCGTACTTACGTGTAAGTCCATCTCATTGGTACTGATTGTATTTGCTGGCTAGCCAAAAATCACCTGAATCGTATGCTTCTACCATCTCAAATTATTTTATGTTAGATATTAGGTAACATTATTGGGTGACACTTGATATAATATAGATGACTACAGAAAATCACGAAGTATGTTGTTTGAGGATTTCTTACGGGAAGTGGATTACATTTTAGTATTACTGAGATAAATGTTTGAGAAATCTCTGACAATTTATTATTAACTAACTAAATAAAATTCATGATCATACCAACCAATACTTATGATAAGAAATCTTAAACAGTATATTAAGTATGGCATTCGACAGAATTTACTTGAATATTCACAGCATACAATCCACACACTGAATGTTACATTATACTATTTGGTGAACTGACTGATGTTGAAAGTCTAGTCAATATATATATTTTGGGAAAACAATTTAAAAACTAATGTATTGATGGTTGAAACTAAGAGTTTGAAATCTAATTCTGAATAGATATGAATTTTCTCATAAGAAATCCTTAAACAACATACTTCGTGATTTTCTGTAGTCATCTATACAATATATATAATTTCGGGTATTTATTTAAATTTAAATCTTTAGGATTTATACAAAGAAACCATATTTCACATGCAAAATGAATTATCTGATGAAAGTCGGAAGAATGAGAATGAATCTAATAGGTAAGAAAGCTAAAGTGAATAATCCAAAAAACTATGTTTATTTGGTGTTTTATTCCTTAAAGTAAGAATATGTATAAACGATTATTTCCACCTAATAGACATACTAGCTTCAACTTATGTCATATGAAGCCAAATTTGATCTATTAAATTTTGATAATTATTATTGTCATGGGTGAAAAGTTATAGAAAGTAGTTGAGCGGTTAAATCATTCGTCTATTAAGCTGTGTTACCGATTCCAACCTCACTGTAGCTACTGTCATTTTTACAGTCTTGCAGCGCCATTATCTTAAACGTTTAGCAGTTCTAACGATTTCTAAAGTGAACATATTTGATAACAAGGAGTATTTTTGGTCTTATGAATCAAACTGCTTGAGATACCTTTTATGGATAATTTTAATCCCTGGTAAAGAGTTTATATATCTAACAGAACGTGTGTTAATCCATCAGGGAATTTTCAATTGCCAAGTATTCAGTCAAATATAGCCATTTATTACATTTAAAAAAAAAATTAATTGCATACTTACGAGGCTGCTGCTTATAATTGTTTTGGTATTCCGAAGTTTCAGTGTGTATAGTTTGTGGTTGTCAGTAGAATCCAGGTTAAGAGTTTCATTCCATTCGGAACTAGTCGTCTGGACCTATTTTCATCCTAGTGCTGCCATTGACGTGTTAGCTCCGTTCTTCAAAAGTCCTTACCGCCGGAGACGGAAATCCGTGGGATAAGGCGAGGTGTGCATTTTTAGGGTCGACCTTTTCTAACCCCACCCCTCCTTGTGGGAAGGCAGCATCGCTGTCATGCTAGTTGTCTGAAGGAAACACCTTACTGCTTTCACACCTCTGTACAGTCAGCAGTACGACTTCGCCTTCGGACCTTGGGATTGCTGCTTTTAGTCTCACCGCTCTTCAACCGACCTGTCTGGCATGGTAGGACCTTGAGGAACGATTGTTCCAGCCAGCATAGCTCGATTGGATCATCACGATAGGCAAGCCCGACCACCACGTCAAGGTAGCAGCAACGGTCGGGAGGTAGCAGCAGTTCGCTCCGTCCTACTTTATGGCAGTGAAACATGGCCAATAAGAGTAGAGGATATTCGTAGGCTACTAGTGTTCGATCATAGGTGTCTTCGAAGCATTGCTCGTATATCCTGGGACCACCGGGTAAGTAATGCAGTTGTTAGGAAACGAGTACTAGGTAGGGATGGCAAATCGATTGATGAAGTAGTGAAACTTCATTAGTTGAGATGGCTGGGACATGTGTTACGTATGCCCGACCACCGACTGCCCCGACGTGCAATGTTTCATGGTGTAGGAGTAGGTTGGAAGAAAGCTAGGGGTGGCCAGACCAAAACGTGGCACAAATCAATGAAGTCACTGACAAGTGGACTGGGCCATGTTAGTAGGTGTAGACTACCTGGTTGGGATTCGCGAGATGACAGCAACCGATGGTTAGATACCTTGAATGACATGGCTCAAAATCGTTTGCAATGGCGAAGATGCATCCACTCTTTGTGTTCTACCAAATTCTAATCTTCTGAATTCCTCATGTCTTTATCTTTTTCTCTTTCCAAATTTATTTCACTGTACTATACTCCTTCAATAATTTCTTCAAACCCTAATCTTTTGGATTCCTGATTATACTCCTACTACTTCTACCACTATGGGATTTGAATCGACAACTGCATCTCTGTGCTAATGTGGTATGGCAACTCGAACTGATGTACGTACGTACGAGGTTCTACGTTGTGACTGACTGACTGAGTGCTGCCATTCGCACTGAGACTAGATGTCAACATTCTAGCTACTAAGTTAACGAGTCCAGATAACCATTTGTTAAATCGACTTGAAGACATCATGATTTGAGAACACTTTGATTATTCCAAGTTATGAACGACTGGGAGATTTTTAAAATACAAAACTTGATCTGTGCAAACCAGGCGGTTAATGCACAAGAGTTAGCCATACGGAAATAAAGGAAATGGAAATAGAGAGGAAACGACTTACAGAGGAGCTCTAATATTCCCCAAAAAGAAATAAAGATGTGATTCAATAATTAAGTTTATATAGTAACAGCAATGACCATGAGAATATATACCAGAATAGCTTGTTAAGAGAGAAAGTAAGCAATCAGTGAATGGAAGAAGTCAGTGTGATAATATTAATTAAAGTCATCAAGGAATTAGTTATTTGTAGAACCTACATTTTATTAACAAAAGGTGAAAAACCAAATAACTTGACACTTCGGTAGGAAATATTATTATAGGGATGTAATTTCTCATTGTTGGTATTAAAGGTTGCAGTTGATTAGACTCTGTTACTACACGTTCATCCTTAGCTGACTTCCTCTCCATAGCATTTAGTCACTGTTTTTGTATTTTTAGACTTATATCGTTTGAAGAATTTATTAGTTCACCTGATTCAGTTTTACATAAACAACAGTCAATTGAAGACGCTGAAAAGTTTCCAATACAATCAAATGAAGAGACTGAAGAGAATACAGAACATTCAGAAGATCAGTACTTAACACCACGTCAAAAAATTAAATTAAATAAAGCAACTGAATCAGATAAAACTATTGCAGTCTTAAGGTATTTCAGCATTTATTATATTCTTCTACCAAATTGTTAATATGTTTGTCTATTCTATAATGAATCATTATTAGTACTAAGTAAAAACTAAAACATTTCGGAATCACGTCTTGAACAGAAATACCAAATTTAAAATACATTGTAATTTAGTTATTATAGACGCTTGTCGGGCATGTATTTGCTTGTAATGAAATGTGACCACGTGAAGTACAGTGATAAAAATTTTTTTCTAGGCAAGTATCTTGTAAAATAAATAATTTTGATTTAATCAAGAATAAAATTAGCTTATTTGGTTTGTTACCATACGTCAGGCATTTTATTCTTAAAATCAAAGAGCTCAGTTGACCAACTCCGTTTAATAAACATACTCTGCAGTGTTAATTTGAAAGCAATAAAAAAGAGGGAGTACTAAATAGCTGTTTAGTTGTAGATTAGAACTCCCTATCCGTTTGCAAGTACGGCTTCATAGGGGATCAAGCACACGATCTCTAGCTTCCTCAGACAGCACAATAACTTTCGAGCATTGAATAATAACTGTGTCTAAAATTTTCAAATCAATCTTATTCGCAATGTTGCACAGTGATTAATGCTATCTCTTAATATAGATCAATTTCTCCAACAGTGATTTCTTGATCAGTCAGTCAGGCAGAACATCTCGATATTGCGCAACAGTAACTATCAGTGGAATCCAAGATACATATTTTGTGCTGTATAAATATTGCCAGAATGACAGATGCGCTTCAGTCATAGTTAGTATTAGTGTTCACTTCAACGCTAAAACAACAGTTATCGCGAAAAATCCCGCTCATTAATGATCAACATACTGAGTTCGATATGTGCAATTATATACTATCCATGCAAGATTTACTTTGTATAGTCAGTGAAATATGGTTTCTTATCCCAGATTCCAAATATTTTTTATCATTAACACAAATCTTCAATGATGTTTTTCTTCATCACGCATTATAATTTAGAGATTTAGCAGAACAGCTTACACATACTCGAAATAGTTTAAATTCTACCAAGGAAACACAACTGTTCACCTGGCAGGTAACTTGCTTTTTGAAGCCTATATCATGGTTTGGTGAATATTCTGCAAATTTAATTTATAATCGATCTATTGTTCTTTATTCAATTGAAAGTATTTTAATAATAGTACTAGTTCTTTAGTAAAAGGTTTGAGAACAGGGTTGTTAACAGGTTGTCCTAAGTGTTGCAGTTTTACCTACTCCATAAACAATAAACCAACTTAAATCGACAGAAGATCGATTAAGGACACAAGGTCCGATGTTTCCGATCCTCCAATCAGAAAATCAAAAGGCTAGATGGATGATTGTAGATATCTTTTATCATTTAGATATGTGACTCATATGATTGCATTAGTGAAATGCAATACCACAACGCACTACAAAGAAAACTCAATGGGTACATAATTAGGACATTTTAATACGAAGAAGAGTAAAAAGTCAGCTGACTATCATTTACGAAAGATAACAGACAGAAACAATAAATCTGTCAAAAGGTAGCTTTCCATCAACTTTGTACTATTAAATATGTACTAACTAATTCACTAAGCAATAGCTACCAAAGTTCCATATTTCTTTTTTTCACACTTCTTTTTAAGGTCTCATACATGAAATATGTTTTTAAATGTATGCGAAATCAATTTAGTTAAATTGAAAGTAATCATTCGATAAGAAGACAAGTGCTGTTAATCTTTTATTGTATGATTTTACTGTGGGATGTTAACGTACGTGTTGTTTAAATGTACAGCTACAAGATATCTATTAAAACAAGTATATTCTGTATTACTTATGTGTAAGAATAGTGGTTTTAAATGTTGAAAGTATAAAACTTTTTTTCCCAAGATTATTAAATACACAGTAAAGTTGATCTGTTAATGTAACTTTCGGATATGATATATGTTGAGTGATTGCTACGAATGAGGTATCGAATACTTACATAGTGATTTTTTAATGCTCATTTTTATCCTAATCTATTAATATTTAATAGTCCAATCAACTTGCTTTTCAGTATGGGTTGTGGAAATCGTTGATTTTTTGACTGAGATCATGAATCGATTTTTTATTGTTAGCCTAAATGTAACAAACTTCTGACACATTGAACTGCGTAGTAATATGAAAGTTTAAGTAAGACATTTCTAGTTTGTATACCCTCATCACTCAATCAATTATGACATGCACTCATCCTATAATATGAAAAATACTCCCTTTTCTCCAACGGTGTGCACTAAAGATCTTACATGAAATGAAATTCAAGGCTTTCAACAGTTCCAACGAGCATGATATCTTCTGATCACCCTACTAGAGGTTAAGCGCTCGCGCGCGAGACTGAAAAGTCCTGTGTTCGAATCTCGCGAGGCGCGACCGTGTATGCGCACTGCTGAGGAGTCCCACAACTGGACGAAACGGCCGTCCAGTGCTTCCAGGTTTTCCATAGTGATCTAGCTTCAATTGACTGATGATCTCAACTATTAAAAAGATATATTTGCTGCCATATATAAATCATTAGTATAGGGGATTTATGCAAATCTTAGATACAATTTAAGTACAAATGGCATGAATAACAAAGTATTACGACCAGCTTCAAGTTAACGTTTTTTGTGCATTATCTCTCCGGATTAATTTATTCACAGTGTAAACTTCTAAATTTTCAGTTAATAAACGTTCAGTAACTTACAGTTGATCCTAAATTGAATTTTAATTAATTAACTTTTCTTACAATTTAGAAAGGATATCCATCATTGAATCATATATGGCCTACAATTCAAATGCCAACAGAGAAACTGCTAAATGAATTAAAAAATCTTTATTCAGAGAAAATAAACAATGAAATAAGCGTGACAGATGAACTAGATGATGATTTGGAAATTGGAGGTGATTTATCTTTGCCAAAGAGACCAGGTTTAAAAGGTGAATAAATTTTAATTGATACTTTAATTTGGACAACACTTATTAATATACTTTTCATAGTTTACATCCCCGATTGATCTTAGCTGGAAAACCATTGAAAACTAGAAGATGCTGAACAAATGTCTAATCCGAGTGTCGGACTCCTTAGCAGTGTGCATTCATGACTATTGGACCAAGGACCTTTAAGGTCTCGCGATGAGTGCTTAACCTTCAGACTGTTGAGCTGAAATCCATTTGTGTACATGTCTAACTTCATTCAAGTTGCCAAAATAAGCAACCACTTTCCATTGCTTTCGGTGGATAAAATCTCATACTACATCTAGTTGAAGTCCAGGAGCTGCAACCTGAAGCTGGTCTCTAGGTGGGCACATGAATATTATTGATACAGAGGGTTTGCGAGAATTGTCTAACTTCTACACTTTACGTCACGGACTGATGTTAGTTAAACAACCAGTGAAAATCAAGAAACACTAAATGGCAAAACTAAAGGTTTTCAGTTCAATCTCAGTTCGAGTAATGCTTTCAATAATTAAAAGTCTATTTTCCACCAACTACTTTTTTCAAAATAAACGTGTTATATCTTGTAGCCGAGTGGACGACTAGTTAATGTGTGACGCGATAGAACCGCCAATCAGGGAGCAGAGAATTATTGACTGGAACAGTGACACGAAACCCGTACGAGCAGTCTACAGTGCTAACCGGTCCTGAGATCTGCCTAGCCTGACCAGTTAAGTCCAAAACACCGATAACAGCCTCATTGGTATGAATCGTTGTATTTCAAACATACTGAATTTATATACCAACCAAACAGACCATATCGACCCATAAAATAGATAATAACATTTGTACAATATTTAGCCGAGTGTGGCTGTGAATAGTAATCAATAAACTGATGATAACTCAAGGATCGTATGATAATAGTTCAAAGGTCAAAATAAAGTTAGTGATAAGAGGAAACGAATATGATTAGGTTAATTACAATAGGAAATGTACATATTATATTGACCAATAATTAGTCCTTAAAAGTTACCATTCGTAATTCTCTTCGGGATACAACAAAACGTTAGCCATATGCGTGAATATTTTATTTTCTGAACACAATTAACCAAGGGCAATGAATGACGACCGTGTCATATCTCGAACTAAATGAAATTGGAAAAGTTACACGTTGGACACTGAATTGGTCGTATATAAATAATGTGTTAAATGGGGAATCTGGAGGCTCTAAGTGTGAGTAGACAATGCTATAGACTCCTATCTATGATAAAACTGTTGGATAATACTGCCTAGATTTTAATGATCTTTTAGATAAAGTTAGTCTCTGATGATAACTGTCTCCCAAATTAATTAATCTCAATAGCCCTCTCATTGCAATAACGACATTTTAGGTGAATAGCTGCCCAGACTTCTGGAATTCCTTCATATGAGCACATGAAGCTGACTTTTTTTTCAAGTTAACCAGAAGAAAATGGTTATTTCCATATAGTTAGTTATCATTCAAACCAACTACTCCAAATGAAAATTATTCAACACAAAGATTATTAACAACAAATATATTTATATTCAATGATAAAAGTGAGAATATTTAATAACAATTCAGTTCTTGCTGACTTCAAATCAAGATAAACTTTGATCTGTTATTATTCTGTCAGCTAATCATTTGAATTGAACCATACACTGCTCTTATCATATAATTCTGATATAAATTAAGTCACTACCAAAAATCATTATTGTTATTGAAAAACAGTGATAAAGTTTATCTCTGAAATCAGAAAATATCACAACCAGATTTTTATTTTATCTTAAGCTGGAACTTTGTGAAATAGTCGTTTGATTTTGTTAACAGAGAACACTCTGTATGAAATAAATTACGTTTAAAAAAAACAAGTATCAAAGTTCTTAAATAACTTGGACCTAAGATCTAAGACGTAAGTGATTACTTCTAAGTTCTGGTGTATTTTATCATTGAAATATCTGAGGCGGATATATATATATATATATATATATATATATATATATATATATACCCACTACTTATCTAGATATTATCATACAAATGTATAAGCTTAACTTACAATTAAATTTAGTAGGTCTCTTTGAAATTGTTTCAATGTACAAAAATGATTATGTTAGTTTTTAATTTTTATATTTAGTTTAATCAACTGCGACGTCCACTCTAACTCAACATTCAATGGACCATATCCATTAGTAATGATCCCTGGAACAGCTGGTTGTCAAGCTTTCGCTGTGTTAAAAAATGATCCTGATAATAAGACGTTACCTGTATGGTTGAATTTGGAACTTTTTGCATTTATAAAACATTTTACTAAGTATTTTAAGTTAGTTTAACATCTATTTTTTGTCACACAAAATCTGGAAATTATAAAACAACACTTTTCTAGATTACAGTATGATCCGAAAACTGGTCGCAGTTATGATGCTGAAGGTGTTGACATTGTTTTTCCAGGATGGGGTGAAACATGGTCAATTGAGAATCTAGATAAAACACCAAATATGTTTTCTAAATATTTTGATTCATTGGTTTATGTTCTAAGAAAAAATCCGTTTTATGTATCAAATTTTACAATGAGAGGTGCACCATATGATTTTAGAAAAGCCCCAAGTAAGACATATTTTTATTGAGAAGTTTTACGTACTTGATCTTTTAGATGAAAACTATGGATTTTTCGATAAATTAAAAGCCTTGATTGAGGAAACTTATGAAAATGCAAAACAAAGACCCGTTGTCCTACTGCCACACAGTATGGGATGCTTATTTGCTCAGTGGTTTTTGAAAAAATGTGAGATTCCATGGAAAAAGAAGTATATAAAATCCCTGGTGTTTTCTAGCTGTCCATTTGGGGGTTCTGTGAAAACAGTGAAAGTTGAAGCCAGTGGTATGTTTTAAAAATTGATGCTGATGTTGAAGTGTTTAGGAAATTTGTAGGTATCATTAGCAAGGTTTGACTTGATAATTTCGAATAAATTGAGCATTGGGTAGATTGTTATAAATAAAATAATATATTTGTAATATCCCAATGAGTAGAAAAATTAGATTTCATCTCGTTTCGTGTACACCACTGAGTCACGAAACGTCATGAAATCTAATTTTTCTATTCATTGGGATATTGCAAATATATTAATTTGTTTAAGGAATTGTTCTGGCCATAAAATAATCAGATCCAACCAGATTTATAAATACTCCCGAAATAGAAAGATTACACCCACTCATATTCACATGGAAACTCCCAAATGTGAGTAATATCCATAAAATATATAGTAACTAATTATTTGTTGTACAATATATATTTAAAGAAACTTTTAGTTCAGCCAATAAATTTGGGGAGTTTAGCTTTTGGTGAGTATCGAGTCATTATTAAGTATACTGAATAAAGGGTAGCCATGTTCTATTGATGAATTATAAAATGTTGGTGTTCTGGTAAAGATGATTATTATTTAGACAAGTAATGGAAATCTTGTTAAGGTCTTAAATTTATTTATGTATAACCTACTACTCAGTTACATATCATCTACATGGGTAAAAATGAGCTTAAGTTAAAAATTTTAAATACTACTGAAGAGAACGCGTGTTTCTAGACAGTGATGTTTATTTCTAAGAAATGAAACTTTTAAATAGAATAGACTTAGAGTAAATGTTTGGAAAGTGAATAATCAAAAAAATATGCTGTTTTATTAATGCTTTTCACATAAATCTTCTATCGTACACTAATGGATAAGTTATACATGAAAAAGTCACATGAGTATAACTTGCTTTTCTATTGTATCATCATTCAGAAATAATAAAATTTGTAACTTAATGTATACATGAACGTGAAACCTATAAATAATACGTTTGGTAAATGAAGAAGGAATGAATCGAGTTAAGAAATTTCTTTTCAACTAGTTTTTCATCATGGCTCTACACTAATATACAATAATGAAAGGACACCCTTCGAGTATAAATAAAGCCAGAACAAATATTGATGCAGAATAATATAAATTTATTATACTTCGTGGTTTCTCGTCAGCTGCTTATTCTTCGAGTAGATACGTTACATAATAATTATATAATGACATATCGATTATAAACAAACATTCAATAATTGGAAGAAAGAGGATTAATAATAATCAAAGTAATTATTCGAAAGTTAAGCAGTTGCTACGTTGCATAATATATTAAAAAGGAGAAGAAAGAACTAACAAAATATTTTGATGAATGGTCAGTAATATAGTAGTTATGTAAGAATCAAGAGACGAATGTTGATAATAAGTAAAATACAAAAATGGTAGAAAGACGAAAATTGTTCACCAAAGTTCTACTACAAACTCCGCCATACTAATGGTCAAGGTAGCGAGAGTAGTTGTACAAACTTTTTTTGAATACAAAGGTTCGGTTTGTGAACATGCATTGGGATGACTTCAGAAATGTGCAAAAGACGAACTCGTAAACCATGAGGCCAGTCTGATAGAATATGGTAGATAGTCTTAAAAGCTTTAGTAAGTTCAACTTTAGCATAACTAGGTAAAACGGTTTATCGGTAATGTTTTTAGTCAGACCGCTGAATAGATTTTATTAAGAAGTTAAGTATTAAATTGATGCGTTATAATACTACATTCAGACACACTACAAACTGAACACCTAGTTTTTTATTAATTGCTTAAAAAATAATTAAATCTGCCACGTACATCATTAAGCCCTGAATCTATGTTTTATTGAATCAGCTGTAAGATATGTTTAAAATCTTGAGAAAATTATAATCCTCAATAGGACTTAAATAACCTTCACCCATTAAGTTGTTACCACTAGGTTATTTAATTCAGGACTCCTTTCCCTCAATGACTTCCGGAAATTTTCTCTATTTGTAATAAACGAAAATATCCATGGTTATTCATCCATAATTAGTGTAAACTTAGATAATGTTGACAAGAATCAAAAATACCTAGTGGGTTTGAGTTCGTTTTACTACCGATACTCTTTAGGATATCGTTTACTCAAGACTAAAATATAGTTGCTCCAGTTATGCACAGCTACAAATCCTCTGATGACAAAATAAATGTAATAATTTAGCTGTTTTGATTTTGCATCTCAATTGAATAAATAGATATCAGGTTCGGTGAATCGGTGTATGTGATAGGACTGAAACCCATTTTAGTCCAAAAGATTAATTAGTTGAATAACCATGGTATTAAATGCTTTCATGTTTTACACCAATCAGGACTGTAAAGTCTTTACAGAAGATCTTGGCATTTCAAACTAAAAGGCATAATATAACAGTATTTACTGAGTTTCTTACCTTTCATTCTATTTAGTGGCATGTAAGTAAATAGAAATGTCTACATATTACTGTCATATATCTATCAATAAACTATCAAACCTAATATTTCATATTTGTCGGAAGTTTATCGGCAAATGTTTTGTGAGCATGATATGGTAATTTCATTTAGGCTGATTACCTGTAAATTACATTGTGGAAAAGCTCATTTTAACGATAATCCGAGATATTATAGTACAAAATACAGCATTATCTCTAATAAGGTAATAAGTTTACAGTGAAAAACTATTTACATCAAATGTCAATTACACTTCAATTAAAAAAACTGGAGATTAACTTCGAGTTAACAAAAAAGTAGAGATGGTAATGGAGTGTGAGAAAAAAATGCTGAAACATAATTCGTTGTTGTGATCATCAAATCACTTCGAAATTTTGTGTAATGTTCAAATTACATAACATTCTCTATGTAAACATCTAAATATTTTATTAAAATGCACTCATATAAATGGTATTATTGAACTGTGGTAGTAGTACTACTAGAGAGATGATTTAGAAAGATGACACTTTGCAATTTTTGCGTTATTCTTTAATTGTTTTTTTGATTGAAACATTGGTCTTGCATTGCTTTATAGACTATCCTCAACTTCTTATGTTTTATCTATTAATACAGGTGATAACTTTGGGGTATTTCTACGTAGTCCATTAAGTTTTCGACACGTCCAGCGTTCTATGCCATCTCTTACTTTCTTATTTCCTGATTCTCGTTTATGGCCATCATGGGAGCCACTTATTATAACACCTACAACCAACTATAGCTCAGCTGATTACGAACGTTTCTTCAAAGATATAAATTATACTATTGGTATGTGATTATCTTTTCTCTTTTCATTTGTTACTATTTTAATTTAGTAGTTATTTTTGTTACTCATATTTTATCAAAACAACACTGGCTACTATATCTACAAGCCATAACTTACAGATCACACAAAAACTAGAAGCGAAGCAATTATGAATTCACAGTTTACCCATGATCACGAAAAGAGTTTCCCAGTCGACTTCATGCTGTTATATTTATGCATAGTAATTACGTCTAACTCAGACTTTGTCACCTCCGTTACCAGTGTATTTATGAATAGTTTTAAATAGTTCTAACAAACCTACTTTGAAGTATTAAAAAGTCTCTTTTAAAAGTGGATACTACGGAAAATGTTTAAACTTTTAAAAACTTCACACACTACGTCACCTCTAACATTTATTTTTCTAACTTTGTATTTTGGTTTCTATCTCATTCGTTCATAATGAGATTATAGGCTATCAAATGTGGAAAGATACTCACTCCCTTGTTGATGGATTGGAAATGCCTACTGGTATTGATGATATTCATTGTATTCATGGTTCACGTTTATCTACTACCGAAAAAATTGCCTATTCTGCACCCAGTTTTTTTTATAGTGGTTTCCCAGATCAAGTACCTTTATTAATTCCTGGTGACGGAGATGGGACAGTCGGCATACGAAGTTTAGAATACTGCAAAAATTGGCCCGGAATTAAACATTACGTATTACCTGGAGCTGAGCATGTTCGTATTCTTAGTGATATAAGACATATTAACATTATTCTCAAAATCCTTAATGCGAATATAACTCATGGGTAAACATAAGATTTTGATGCCTGAAGATAAATTACTGGATTAAATGAACGTCATGTTAAATGAAGCCAATAAACTAAAGAAACATATCGAAACAAGTATTGATAATATAGAGCGGCTGTTTTTGTGTATTTTCAATTGTTTTCTGAAAAAAATATAACAATTTGACATACGTAGGAAAATCAAAGTCTTGGTTTGCTTTACTTATGATTTTCATTGTCAACGGGATAATACTCAACGGGATTGACATCTTTCCTACTAGGCGGAGTGGTGGAAAATAAAATTTGTAAATTTCTGCCCTTTTAATTCTGTAAAAATGCACTTACATGATTGACTCAGCTCAATTTCTAATTATGTGATTCAACTTAATTATATAGTCACTGTCTAGTCTATATCCAGCCTTTTTATCGTAATAAGATTAGTTGAGTCCCATGGAAAATGGTTAATTCTTATTGGGTGGTTCGTACTAAAGCTGTATGCTCCCAAATTCCCTGGTACGACTGAGGGTGGGGAGGGTCCGCTCTCCCTCTCGAAATGCTCTCACATGGCCACGTGCATACAACAACTTCCAGGGAAGTCCTACTCACCGCCTTCTCGAGACGAGGGTGTTGTTTACGAAATTGAGAGGATGAAAAGCGAATGTCTGGAGCTTTAACCGGGTGGGTGGACACGGCGAGTTCACTTAGGGGAGTTGGAAAACCCTGATTCCAAACCAATGGTGCACATAAGCTCCAGGATCCTTAGGGAACAAATGGCGTATGAACCAATCGTTGGTCGCTGGCTACCGTGGGACTTAATCTCCTGACGTCGCTCCACTGCCTTGTCGATCAGATCTCTAGGTCAAAGTCTCCGGGTGTGGCCCCTTAAGAAAACTACCTGCTTCGGTCTAGGCACCCGAGTAGTATCCCAACCCTCACACAAATCGAGTGATTTATGTGGCGAATATGCATCTGGTGCCCCTTTGTACCAATATTTACGTGTTTAATCAAATAAACTGTAGCTGTATAGAAAATTCAGCCACTTGGAGAAATGAATTTTTCAAATGACCAAAGTTTAATTATTGATTAATAGAGACAATAAATTTTTTTTAACTAATTTTCAAGTAAAAATAGGATATTAATATTCTAAATTTTTATTGATAAACAGATTTTAAAGTAAATCAATACTGAACAGCTATCCAAACGCGTTCAACAGTTAATCTTACGTTTGATGACGATGAAATTTATTTGATATGGTACGTTAGCGAGATGTAAATGAAAAGATCATTTTTTGGGCTGAACCAGGCCTGAGGAACCTCAATCCAGTCTTCTCGGTTTCCATCGTTTACAACCACCAGACGCGGAAACTTGATGGTCGTGGGCTGTAATTGACGAAGTATCGTGTACACGCTATTTACCATAGTGGTGTGAGGGCCTATTCTGCGTTACGGCCAAAGCTGCTTCCGCGTCTCCTATTCGTTGGCATCATCGCGATTACCACCTACTATTACAAGCACTCCGGGAACCACAATGATGGTTGGTTCTTGGCCACTGTTCTGAAAAAGTGGCTTACATTAGGTCAGAAATCGTTAGAAATACAATTTTTCACTCATTGTGACATAAAAATATGTTTATCATTAATTTTCTACACAATGCTCATTTCATTTATAACTATTGAGTTCAACCATGGCACTGATACGTATAATCCCGTTACACTTAATAGTTGGGGACTGTCTTTTGACACGTTTTGGTCATTACACAAGCGGCATAGCCTGACTGAAATAATTACTTTTTCCGGTATTGTACAGTATTTGTCACACTGTTTTTTATCAAAGGCTGCTTGATTTTCTAATAAGCTACTTTCCGACACTGGAACATTAAATAAAATCAAGGGTTTTGTCTAGTGTCTTTGCCCTTCATTTTTGGCGTCTTGGGATCTAAGCTTTTGCCATTTCCGTCCACAACGTTTATCCACTGCTTCTTACTGTTAACAGATACAGAGATATTATCGGCAACCTGGAATTTCGTTCGTGTGTGAGCTCGGGTTGCGGCTTCCATAGTCGCGTAACTGACTGAGCTTGTGTTAGACTAGTTTAGTTTGCTAGTGTTGACTTCTGAGGTTATTTTCAACGGGGTCCCACTCTGCTCTCTTGTTGGTTTTGCTGATGTATTTCCTCTTTACTCTGGCCCCATTTACTGGGACCGCGGATACAGGCGATCTAACA